TATATATATAATAGCAGCTTACTCACAGTAGAAGCAACGCGAAAAATAGAGCTACTAAAATCCATGTTGTCGCCGAAAAAATGTCAAAAGGGAACATTGCATTGCTTGACGAACGCACTCCAGAATGTCAAAACCAGGAAGTAACCCTTGAATTCAACTTCAGAACGCGCAGGCAATGCCAACGATCACGTGACGTCACCGACTCTGCCCATGCGCAAATAACCTCAAATTATGCTTGATATTGTATATTTTACCACGAGGTATTATGTCAAATTTGGATTTAATAACATGTGACTGTAATGGGTGAACAAAAAAAGCAATACCAGTACAAACGCTGTCTCGCTTAAGTTGGAGCTCTCTATCTCGCCGTAGACCCTTTCGTCACAGCGTTCTGCGTTTGTCGTGTTTGTCTGGAAACTGTTCAACCTGCCTTAACTTAGTTTCACAACTTTGAACTGTTCCTATTTCCATTTTAAATTTTAACTCACACCTTGCTATAATTAAATGAGTACACTCAAGAGATTTTAATTTGAATGAAATACCTAACTCAACCCATTTTACGAAAGGTTTAGAAACACAATTTAAGATCTAAAATGATATCTATCCAGAGGTTTAATGCGGAGCATTTTTTTTTTAATAAGCCTTACATTGAGACTTTGGACATTTTATTTTTTGACTAGATAAACACCAAAGAGGTTTGAGAGCCGTTCCAGAACTGGATATTTGAATGATGATCCTCATCAGTCACCCCAACTGGAGTACAGAGACAGTGACACAAAATAGGAAACAGGAAAGAAACAATACTTAGACAATAATTGCAATGTGTTCGTGGATGCAGTTTATAATGTGTCGCACATTGTTTTGCGTTTACATGAGAGAAATGGACAAGTTTAGCAGGATATTGCAGAGACTGTCTGTAAAGGTATTAAAAATTCACTCGCTTAAATTTGAGCTTGCTTGCGTGCCGTAGAACAACCCGGAAGTAGACGCTCGACACGTACATTTCCATATTTATGATTTGGAAGCTTTTGAAATTGGCTCATTTTCTGCCTTCCTAGTTTGTCCTAGGATATTGAACTCATTTTGTTTCGTAAGAGCCGAGGTAAGGTGAACACATTACTCGTTGCGCGTTGTGACAAAACTAATCTTGTCATCTGACCTACAGTTAAGAACACGAGCCACTTGCCAAGTTAGCATTCCGTGCTAGCAACAGGGTTTTGTTTTTTTCTCCAAACCTCCATTTGATCGTGTTTGCCTCGTTTCCAGTGCACTTTGGTTCGTTTGGCACAGACGCATGATCTATTTAGATAAGAGGGAACAAAGTACAGTTATAATTTGATGACACACATGAAGGACGAATGAATGTACCAGGTATATCTCTAACCGATCCACATTGAAGCCTTTTATTTGTTTGGATTTTGAACCACTTCCCCTTCTGTTTCTAAGGTTAAACCACAAAAAGCCAAATGTAGGTGTGGAGTGTGAATCCCTATCAAGGGTCCTGTAGTACTTAACATTTACATTTTCCATTGCTTTAATTGTCCCTTCTGAAATTGGTTGATTTATTTTGTGTACATTTTTTTTAAGACTATTTTTGATCAAGTTCCAAACTGCGCAACTTTGACTGTTGTCGGTACATTTTTTTCAAGACTATTTTTGATCAAGTTCCAAACTGCGCAACTTTGACTGTTGTCGGTTCCATTGACCTTAAAAACAAATCTTTTTTTGTGGGTGCCATCAGAGAAGCAAGCGCCCGCCATGTTCCTCACCCTGGCTCTGCTGCGTAAGGGCATCCCAGGCAAGCAGTGGATCGGCAAGTACCGACGTCCGCGTGCTGTGACGTGGCAGATGAAGCGCAACATGCTGAAACACCTGGAGCGCGAGGCCCAGAATGAGTACTGGATCAGCCGACCCTACATGACGTTGGAGCAGGAGGCCGGACATGCTGCAGACCGCCGGGCGCGCAAATTGCTGCACGTCAAGGAGAACAAATTCAATAATTTCCCTAAACACAAAACCATTACCGATCACCTAGCCCACCTCGGCATCTCCAAGAACTGGTCTTCTTAACACTTCGGTTTGGGAGACAGAAAGACTTTTCAACATGTCATTGTTGTGTTGTAAAAGTGGACCGAAAACCTCAAGGTGGTTGACCAATTTAATTAAACACACAGAAAGGCATAGAAGTGGCTCAATATTGTAACTTTTTGCTAGAAGTGTGTGTCCGCCACCCAATGTATAAGTCATCCATTATATAAAATTCATTTGAAATACTGCAACTGAATTTGTGTTTTCTGTTTATGAAGCTGAGAAATTACCATCTGTTGGGCTAATTTACATAATTCTGCCTGCACAGTTTCTCCACTAATAAAATTGCGAGCTGCATAGTTCCCTGTAAAATCAAGAAAACCCCCTTCACCCCTATCTTCAAATAAGGTGTGGTTGCAAATGGAACATTATACATTTTTGTTGTAAACCGAATTCGAGAAGTACAGAATAAACTGAAATTATTCAGATAATTGAAGCTACTTCTCAACATATTTGATGGGCTATTATTCTGACTTATACTCGTTATGGGGAGGTTGTATTAATTTAAAATGACTGAGTACAGTTTTTGACCTAACGTGAGTTCACGATTGTGGATACAGAGAGTTGATGCTTTATGGTCCCCTTATAGTGCTTTGCTGCCATCTTCACCACAACACCAATATGCTTTCATTGAGGGTGGGGGGAAGCATCCTTTCTTCATGTTTGGCTACGATCCCTTATACTCACCACACTCAAATCAATTTTGTTTCTCCAGTGTTTCATATCTACCTGTTACAGTGGAAAATATCTTACACTGTCCAAATACTTCTGGACATAGCTATATAAACTATACTAGACCTGCACCTGAATGCGCTATGTGGCAACGTCAGACTCTAAAATTATAATATCAGGTACCTGCCTCCAATATAATCCAAGTATGTAATATCGACATGTTTTGATGCACGACAGACAGGTACATCTCGATCAATTACAATAGCTGTGTGATGGAAACCTTAACTTATTTCCATAACTATTGTTTCTCTAAAGAGAAGTTTGAAAATCTTTTTTGAGAATTTACGTTTTTTAATTACATAGTTGAATCAATAATTCAACCTTGAGCAGTTTTTACACACAAGCATCTGTACTAGTGAAGTTAGCGTGATTATAATGTGCCTTAATACACAAGTTTCATTCATTACACGACCACGCTCGTAACTCAAAACAACCCAATCACTCATGATCCTTCCCAAAGAAAGGAATAGAAATGCCATTAATCAATTTCAGCATCTCCAACCATTTTTATGATGTGTTGTCAAAAAGGAAAATAGAACTCTATGATATTTTTGTTTTAAAAACTTGCAGTAATATAATATTGCATCTAAAGAAGAGTTTCTTCATTATACTACAGTAATTCATTGATGTGTGCTTCTTGGCCACCAGGGGCAGTATAATACATTAACGCAGACAACCGAAGAAGAGTTACAGTTTAACTACTGTCGTTTTTAATGGAGGTTAAAAATGCTTTAAATCACATGAAAGTAAGTATCCTTCTATTTTCTGTCGACATTTTATTTTACATTTTATATTTATAAGCACATTTGATGTTTTGATATCCGGTGAATCACGTCATTACCTTGCCGATGGTGTTGCCGAGTGCCCATTATGAATTCGCATTAAGCTAAGAATTACTGCTTGTTGTGAAGTTTAGTTGAGTTCACTGCTCGCAATTTTGTTCGCAAGTTAACGCAAAGCTCGGCCGAGCAACGGCTCGTATCTCGAAGCGCCACTGTACTTTTTGCCACCTAATGAAATACCCCCTGGAAAGCTCACACGCGAGTGTGTGCACACTTCCATCCTGCAGGTGTCACTGTGGCACCTCCTTCTGCTCCATGATACGAGGGAGGGAGGGATGATGTTGATGAGGAGGCGGAAGAAGCCTCGAGCCCCCCCGTAGTCGGGATGGCCCCTCCCCTCCAAGTCAGCATCTCAGGCGTTCTCCTCCCTCCTCCTCCTGAATGATGATGATGATGATGATGATGAGGAGATGTAGCAGCAGCAGGCTGAGGAGCCAGCAGCCACAGCCGCCGCACAAGCAGCACACACACACCCACGCCGCGGTACCATGACGCCGGAGCACCGCACGGAAGCTCGCTCGGAGGAGGCCGAGTGAAGCGGCAGGATGGCGGGGGGCCGCCGGGGACTTGTGGCCCCTCAGAATACTTTTTTGGAGAATATCGTCAGGCGCTCCAACGGTAAAACCAGCTTTCGCTCTCTTCGTGTGTGTGTGTGTGTGTGTGTGTGTGTGTGTGTGTGTGTGTGTGTGTGCGCGCGTGTGTGCGTATGCCTGTGCGCGTGTGTTTTCTGACTGTATTGATCCATTGAGTCCCAATTAATCCACTGTCTTTGACTAATTAGGAACTAATTTTTGAAGGGGTGTGATGAATAAAGTTACAGTTTTAAATGATGCTGCAAATTGGGAACAAGCGCCCCCAAAAACAAACACCACACCCTGTCATTATGGATCATTTCAAAATCATTCATTGTAGTCGGATAGATGGACAGATAGATATTCATCTCGAGAGGGTAAATTTAAGAAATTAAAATGTCATCGCAGCAAAATTCCTGTACTGTATTTATTTTTCCAATTTCCTACAGACACGTTTGCGCATGGTCAGTAAATACAGCCTATGATGATCCACTAATATTTGTACAATTAGTGCAAAGCGTGACGTAACTGACAGTAACGTATTGATGAATTGATCTAATATGGACAGTGTATGAAACATATGTTATACAGATTGTCTATGAGGCAAAATAGCAAAATTTCACATTCAAACTTGAGAACAAACATTAAGACACTGAAATAATGTCAAATGAAACTTAAAACTGTAGAAGAACGGGCAATCATATAACAGTGTATAGGATTTTTGTTAACATGCCAATCAATCAACTGCAGGCTTCTAACTTGTGATGACATAAAAACCTCCTACAGGATTGATTTGGACAGAGGGAGATTGATGGACCAGAATTAATACCAACAAAACACACACACACACACACACACACACACACACGCACACACACACACACACACACACACACACACACACACACACACACACACACACACAAAAGAATATCGTCCCTTGCAAAATTTAATTAGAGCAACTTTTATATGAGAAGCTCTTGGAATTCTCTCAGGGAACAAGACTGTTCCTTTACTCACTCCCATTAAAGCAATGCATTTTTAATTTCCTGCATAATTACACAAGAGCAACACAAGTCTCTGGTGTCTCTTATATGGGTAGTAATGCATATGTGCCGCAAACTGTTAAGCCATATGTGCAGAAAAGTGCTAATCACTGGACTCTGAGGTAGTCTGTGGCGGTTGTTAAAAGGCCGGGCTGAGGGGGGGTGCGTGTACATCACACTTTTCAAAAGGCTGAAAATCGTGAGCAAATCAGGGAGAAAAAAAATGAGTCAGCACAAACAACTCACAGGCCGATCGGTCAGGATCATCTTTTAGAGGCTCGATTTTGGGTGGAAAAGAGTTAAAATGTGCAAATTAGGACTGATTATCGCCATGTGTGTTCCCCGCTTTCAGTGTTGAACAGGTGAGGATTGTTTTCCAGATTATGAGGGGAGAAACTCACTCCTTGACATATCCCACACAGGCTGTTGAATTGGTCAGGAGAAATGTTAGCGACATTCGATAACCTGACCTTTGATGACTTTGATCAGAAGTGTTGGAAAAGGCTCAGAGCCGTGAAATGGGTGTTTGCCAAAATTCACAAAAAGAGGATGAAAATCCACCCCTTCAAAACAAAAGCCAACGCGACCTTGGGCGATCCGCGGATTAGCCGGCACTAAATCTGGAGCTAATGGGAGCCAAGAGTGCTAATCTGAAAAGAGCGCTAGCTGCTTGGGTGGATGGATGTTACAAAGTCTCTCGCTCATTCATCGTTTGTTTTTGTTTTTTTTCTTGTTGTCTTATGTAACACTTCATATTAATGAGGAATGGTTTTTTTTTTGTCTTCAATCCTGGACTATGAGTGAACATGAGTAGTTCAAAACACGCCCATCTAGTTATTAACAAAATATGACTCGACTCCAACAAGAATATGTAAACAATTTGTTTCACTGATGGCCACCATTTTTAGCTCACTTGCTAACGAGCTAGCCGCAGTACCTACATCCTTGTTGTATCTCACTGATCAACATTTCATTTAATAACGCTTATATCACTCACTCCATGTTTAAACACAACATGGCGTTTGTCCAATTAGTATTTTAACTTATAGTTATTGCCTTTTTTTTTTTTTGTCTAAATGTTCTAATGTCTAATGTCTAAATGACCATGCTAAGCAGCGAGCCGCATCTCATCACTGTCGCTTTGGCTCTATTTTTTTCATATTGGCCAAGAAACAAATGTTCATCTTTCCATATGTCAACGGGATGTTTGCTCCCACATTAGCCACAACAAGTAAGAGTTGATTAATATTTCATCACTTAATTTTAAATATTTTGATAGTCTTTTGAAATCAGTTGAAACAAATTGTTTCAACGTTGTCTACAGGATTTAGCATGCTAACCACTTAGCTGCGGCTCTCACTGGCCCTGTATTGCGGCAAATCATTTTTGTTGTGGTGGTGGTTAGCATGCTAAATCCTGTAGACAACTTTGAAACAAATTGTTTCAACTGATTTCAAAAGACTATCAAAATATTTAAAATTAAGAATTGAAATACAACTATATTTACTAAACTAAGTCATTTTTCAGCAGTGGGCTATGTTATTCTTTTCTTCTGACGAGCAAACTAAACCACTATCTCTTGATGTCAGCTCGATGTTATGCTAGCATGTTTTCCACAAGTAGTGGAACATATTTGAGGTGATTAATCGGTCAATTTGTTGCAAATTGAGTTTTGTATTTTATTCACAAACTGCTCAATTTTTTCCCTCCAAAGAAGGCTCCTGATTTCAGCATGCTAACGAGCTAGCCGATGCTCAACACACCCGTCCATATTTCTCAAATCAACGTTTTATTGGAATCGATTTGAACTTGTCGTGGTCGTACTGAAGGTACAGAAAATCATCTTTCGGAAATAAATAAATAATTTCTTTTTTGTGAATGTTGGGTTGGCAAAGAGACCTTTCTTAGCATCAGCTGGATGTTATGTGAAGGTGTTCGCTGCAACATATAAAACTTGTTTTGGGTTGAGTTTAGTTCATTTTAGTCCCATAAGTAGTTTGTTAGTAAAATACTATTTTGTTGATCGCAATTTGAGCACAATTGTCACTCCACCATTTTCTTGTTTTGGTTGTTGGCACATTTCATCCTTTTGTTTTTCTTTTGGTCACACATTCAAACAGATGTTTGTCATATGAATCTGTTAACTCTTGTTTTTCTTTTCACAAATTTCAGTTTGGACACTGTCACATAGACAGACAGGTACTATAAACTAAATAGCTTCTTATGTTTTCGTTACACTATCTTCCTTACCTCCCCCCTTCTCATTCTAGTGTATCATTAAAATGTTCTATACCAAATGTTGTTAATTTACAAAGCGCTCACTAACTACTGAGCTGTAAACATATTTTACAAATATTTGTTCTAACACAAGAGTTAGAGATTTGGATTTCCCAAGAGTAACATCCATCTGATCATTGTAAAATAACACGTTGGCATGGAACATCTTGTACATTCTATTGTGTTGTCATTAATATAGTCTGACGTGATGAAAAAAAAAGTGTTTTTATGTGTGAGTGTGTGTATTTGTTTATGTATGTGGTTTGAAATGTAAATTTTCCTCCCCCTGTCCTTTCTCCCTGTGTAATTTGTGTACAATTTGTGTTATAAAGATTTTTTTTCTTTTTTATTGCATCACTTGTCTATTATTTTTACACTTTATTAGCATAAAGTGGCATTGGTTGTTTTCACAATTATGATAATATCATTTTGAATATTTTCCAAACAAGTTGAGTCTTTAATGTGGTTATCATGTCATAAAACATTTTTTGATAGGGACTTAAATGGAATCACGTCATTGTTGTCGTATGCAGCCTTTAAAAAAATTTTAACAACAAAAAAATTTTGCCGTGATTTCAGGGATGGGCATAATAATCCACAAATCGATGAACCGACTATTAATTTAAAAAAAGATAGTTGCTTGGAAAACTATTTAAAAAAACATTTTTTTCCCCAAAGGACACTTGAAGCACACATGTTTTTGATCTTTTTAGCCACTGCTTTCAAGAAACGTTAATAATTAATAAACGACAATTTAGAGCCAGAAGTAAGGCGCAACACCAGGAATGCTGCGACATTCTCAATGACGACAGATTTTTTGTTGTTGTTGTTAATATTTGAAGATCATGCATTGACGGCAAACAGACCGTGAAACAAGTGCCATAGTGGCACTGATTGTCTCGGGCTATTAGCATATTGACTATGAGTAAGTGTAGCTCCGAGGTGCTGCTCACCTTTTTAATATGCAAAATAAGCCGCGTTAAAACCCACTGCCATTTTTTTCAATGACCTTTAAAACTAATAACGGCAGTTATTGATATTTGCAGACAAATGAGCGATCATGACGATTATCCTCGGTGATCCTTCTCCATTTAGCCTAGAAAAAATATATAACAAAATCACGCACACACCTCTGTTAAAATGAACTCCACGGAGGTATCTGTGTCAGTGTGTGCAGTCGAATTTGTCAGTCTTACCTCCGCCGCGTGTAATGAAGCATCATGGACGCTAATGAACATTGATCAAGTGTGTTGGGAACTCTGAAATCAAAGGTTTGTCCTTGTAATATAAATAACGATAGACAAGCTGTTGGACACTACGTGCAAAATACACTCCAAAATCTTTTGGCCAGATGTATCAAGACAATTATCGCATCCCAAATAATGAATTTGGTCTTGTCGTGTGAGAAGAATAGTAGAAATAGGAATTATAATCAACCACCGATACATAGATTAACAATCCAGTGGCGCAATTAACTGCTCTCACTTCTTCACCTCAGTGCGATAAGTGACATTAAAACGGGAGTTTAGAACTTTACACGCAGAGACATTAAATATGGTTATCGATAATAGCAATGACTGGCATTGAAATGGGAGTTTAGAACATGCAGAGAGCACAAACACATTTTTCTATTCAATAAAATGGTGTTCACTACATGGCTGTGACCAGCAGAGGCGCTGTTGTGCCACCGAGTTTGCGCAACACACCAAGTCCGCAATACAACGTAGCTCAATCATTCTGATTGGTACGATGACGTTGATTAAAATGGGACGTTCAAAGGGCGGAAATACATTTTCCCGATAATCAAAATGGGGTTGACTACCTGGCTGCAACCAGCAGAGGCGCTGTTGGGTCAATCAGGGACCCCAAAAAAAAGAGTTTCAAATGCTATATGTGCTATGGGAAGTGGAGGAAGATAGCTCTGAGTTAGCTGCTAATACTATTGCCATGAACTGCTTCTTAACATCCTTTTGGCTTTTTTTTTTTTTTCCGCTTGTGTCCTTTCAATGTCTCCAATAACACTCCCTTTTAATTTCCCCCCATATTTTCTTTTGAATCTGATCAAAGGCAAATGTTTCCGATCTCCCCGAGTTTCTCAGAGTGTTGAAGGGATGCCGGCGTTAACCCCTCAAGCGTTTGCCTTCTTGTGCTTCTTGTGTTTTTGTCCCCCCCCCCGGGCCAAGCAGACACCAACTTTGTGCTGGGCAACGCGCAAATTGTGGACTGGCCCATCGTCTACAGCAACGACGGATTCTGCAAACTGTCGGGGTACCACAGGGCCGAGGTCATGCAGAAGAGCAGCACCTGCAGGTAAGCCGCAGCCATTGGTTTATCTACATGTCAATCATTTTTTTTATATCATGATTATGTTTAAAAAAAAAAAAATAAAACCAAGATAAAAAATGTCAAAATTTTTCCACCAATTTCATTTCATTTGTTCTAGTTGGCTTTTCCTGACATTTTTTTTTCTTTCTAACCGAAGTCTGCTATGCGGAAATGTTCGTAATTCCCTTCACAATGACTGAGGCTCCAGTTCGAGCTGAAGAAAAAAAAAATCCAAGAAAAAGTCTTCTAGAACAGCTGAACTTTATTCTTTAGGGTTAATCAGAGGTACTTTAAATGGTGGCAGGTTTTTGCTGCCTCCCATTTTAACATGAATTTGAATGTGTTGGAAGTTGTTTGTTCTTACCTCTGCCTTGGAAAGATTATTTTCATCAATTGAGTTGTCAATCTTGTAGACCACATGAATGTTTTTCACAGTCCGTTAATATAATTTGTCATCAGCTGTTTTTTTCTGGTTCACCGTCGTTGCAGTCATTGGTGTTGACGAGTTCTCTGCTGGCATCTCATCTGGTGGTGTTCATTTTATCCGAGCGTGATGCAGCAGATGTAGCAGCAGCCTCAATTAGAGAGTGGTTTTTCAAATGAATAATAGATCCCGTTGTTGTTAAATCGACAAAATGGAGGCCATACGTCATCATTTTCTGTGCTCCCTCAGTGGCGCTATGCGCCATTTATGCCCAAGTCTCGGGATTGGTTATTGGAACAAGTGGACGATCGGTTCACAGTGAAAAAAAAGAACTCAATACAGAGTTTTCGTTTTACAGTGTTTGTTTTTTTGTTTGTTTAAAAGTCACTATTGGTTATTGGAACAAGTGGACGATCGGTTCACAGTGAAAAAAAAGAACTCAATACAGAGTTTTCGTTTTACAGTCTAACGGCAAGCGTTTTGTCTGGAAAGCAGTCTGAGCATTTATTCGATACCCTTGATATCGAGCTGAACATCCATTTACTCCTATAGTGTTTGCCCTCACGACCAAAACAATTCGGCGCATGACAAGAAGGACGGTGTCTCGCTATGAACATTTTTCCACTGTTTGTTCCACATTTGGCAACTCGTGTGCAGTTAAAATATGACCAGTAAACTACTGTTTGACACTACTAGTAGCACCATAATGTTTGCGAGTAGTTTTCCCTCACTCGTAATATAGAGTCGTCCTACTAGTGTGGAAAAATGTCATATAACAACGGAAAAACAACTCGTGTACAGTTAAAATATGACCAGTAAACTACTGTTCGACGCTACTAGTAGCACCATAATGCTTGCTAGTAATTTTCCATCACTCCCTCAATATAGAGTCATCCTACCAGTGTGGAAAAATGTCATATAACAACGGAAAAACATTTCGAGTTAGCCAGTCATTCTAATAGTGCGCTAAATTGTCTTATTAGTTTGGACATGGAGCAAACTGATACACGGAAAACCCATTTGAGCATTTATTTGATGTCTCACTGACATCCAGCTCAACGTTCATGTACTAGCATGCTCTTAGCCTTCACTAGGAGGACTGCTAATTTTGGCGCACAGATGCCAACTAGTGCACAGTTTTGTCTCCCTCGTGACAGCTAGGTTTCTTACTACTATGCCAAAGTTATCCTGCTCGTTCCGAGAAATGTCAGCAGTGGAAAAATCGAGTCATTTGTCTACTGCGCTGAATTGTCTTACTAGTGAAGACAAAAAGCGTACCTAAAGCACGGGTATCAAGGATATTGAAGACATTCTCAAGTGACTTTCCATTCGTGCAGCTAAAAGAAAGGAGCCGCTCAATTAATAGATTTTCATTAGAAAAAAATAAAATATCAAAGTGCGGTAATGAGACGGAACTCGCTGATGAAAGATGCGGGGGGCCGAGTGAAAGCCCCCCCCCCATCCCACGGCTTGCTGAAGGCATCGTGGATCGTTTTACGTCTCCTTGTCGCGGGGATGAGGGGAGTGGGGCATGTCGTAAGAGTGATCCAATGGAAAAAGCGTACCTAAACCAGGGGTATCAAAGACATTCTCAAGCGACTTTCCATTCATGCAGCTAAAAGAAAGGAGCCGCTCAATTAATAGATTTTCATTAGAAAAAAATAAAATATCAAAGTGCGGTAATGAGACGGAACTCGCTGATGAAAGATGCGGGGGGCCGAGTGAAAGCCCCCCCCCCATCCCACGGCTTGCTGAAGGCATCGTGGATCGTTTTACGTCTCCTTGTCGCGGGGATGAGGGGAGTGGGGCATGTCGTAAGAGTGATCCAATGGAAATATTGCAAATGACAGCGCCTCTTAAGCCTCGGCGTCGACGCGCCGCGTGTTGACTGTGAGCGTTTAACCAGTGTGCCAGTAAGCAGTAAATTAATAGGATCACATCACGATGGCGCGCCGCTGCCAGATTTGCAAATGGTGTGAGATTTCTTGTGTTTTGTCACAGCCAGCACTGCTGATTTGGAGCCTCGGGTGCTCCGGCATAAGCTTCAGAACACTTGCCAGCACCAACACTGAACACACTCGTAGTGTGTCACTGTGAGTGTCTGTGTGTGTGCTCTGATTCGTTTTACGTTTATTTTTAGTCACAGGTTCTTTTTTTTTTTGTGTGTGTGTAAGGAGGAACCAGACCTAAAATCACCTCACTGTATTTAGCCGATTTTAGATAAGTCATTACACAATCAGTGTGTAGATTTTTAGTCACTGTTGCACTCGAAATAATGCTGCACACTTTATATGACTGGGTCAAAAAGCAAACACAAACAAACACCAAAAACAATTAGGTCTTTTTTTTTCTCTTTTGTTTGTTTTTTGACCCAGCAATTTTAAGTGTGTGGGTTATTTCCTGAAACCACACGCTGGGTAGCTGTGGATTTTCAGCAGATTGGGTTACTTTTATCCAAGGTTGGGTTAATTATTCTGACCCATTAAATTGGGTTGAAGATTGCATTTGGGCGGGCTAAAGAACCAAAACTGATCACCTCACTCTAAAAACATCCATCCATCCATCCATCCATCCATTTTCTGATCCGCTTTAACCTCACAAGGGTCGCGGGGTGTGCTGAAGCCTATCCCAGCCGTCTTTGGGGACACCCTGAACCGCTTGCCAGCCAATCGCAGGGCACACACAGACGAACAACCATCCGCGCTCACACTCACACCTCGGGACAATTTTGAGTGTTCAATCAGCTTGCCATGCATGTTTTTTGGAAAGTGGGAGGAAACCGGAGTACCCGGAGAAAACCCACGCAGGCACGGGGAGAACATGCAAAATCCACACAGGAAGGCTGGCACTGGAATCGTACGTTTGCACTGTGAGGTCGACGCGCTAAACACTCGATCACCGGGCCGCCCCACTCTAAAAACAATTGGATAAAGAAATAACCCGATTTGGGTAAAAAAAAAATGTACTGATCCTCTATATGGGTCAATTTCTTCTCAACATGTTCCAAGCATTTGATGCCCAGTTGCGTGGTTGGACGCTAGACGATGAGGCTATAAAACATTCACAGTGTGTGCAGCTAGTTTTTGATGTTTTGACAAGATGACTCCCAACATAAAAAAAAAAACCGCATACTCATTTCCAACATCTGAGCCTTCTTTGCTGCGGATCAAAGATTTGTGTCCCGAGTCTCTCAGGACAAACCCCGCGGGAATCCCCGACACGCGACGAGCGAGTGACTTGCGGAATTTTTTTTTTCGTTGCCTTTCTTTGAAGAAAGTGGCATTCAGAAAGAAAGAGGACAATTCGGAAAACATCAGGCGCTCGTCTGAAAAGTTGTCCCGCGGCGTCGAAATGTAGCCTTGTTAATTAAATTGAGCTTTTCCGTTTGCATTTCAAAACAAACCCACCCGCGCGATATATTTAGATCGGGGCTGACGGCGCAAAAGCGCGCGATCAGTGACCCGTCCTCCGGATAATGTATTCATTACAGCAGGTAAGAATCTTCGCTTTTTCACTCTGACAAAGGCCATAAATGCTCATCTGCTTCTGCTCAATTTTTCACGCAGCAATCAGGCTGAGTACCTGCGGGTGTACATTGATGAATAGCGTGTCATTTAAGGCTTTTGTGGGGAGGAATTTAAGGAAGAAAAACGAAGCCCTACAGACAGGATGTATCCAGATGGATGGCTTATTATTTTTTACAAAAATCTTCATTGCTTTTCACAATCTGATGAATAAAGAATGGTTTGCAGAAAAGAAAGAAAGAAAAAAAAGCCTATTCTTTCGTTAGAATTTCCTCTCAGTATCTGAAAACCAAAAACTGGACATTCTTGTTGTTTTTCTACATTTAAAGTAATGAAAATGACTGAAATCTTTTTTTTTTTTTTGGGGGGGGGGCGGGGGTCATTCCAGAATAATTTATTTGGAAATTGATTGTGACATCTAAAGAATTTGTAGCCATTTTTGGAGAATTTCTTTTTCCAATCAGATTTAAAAAACGAATCTCAAGTTATTGTCGATTGTCTCACCATCGGAAAAACAAAGCGCGGTCTTTTTTGTTGTTGTTTTCAGATTGAAATGAGTGTTAAATTTAATCGGATGTAAAACAGAGACACTTTTTATTTTTTATTTTCAATTTTGAAAACAAGCCCTTCCCTATTGTCTGACAAAAACAAAACTAGAAATTAATTTTTTGCTCCCATTTTTCATTGTTTTTTTATTCGTTTTTTGAGATATTAAAAAAAAAAACATGTAATTGTAATTTTTTTCCACTCTTTCTGTTCCATAAAATCAATTAACATATCCATGAAGTACACGAAGAAGTGGATTTATTTTCAAAATAAAAATAAATAACACATTTCGGATTTTTTTTTGGCCATTTTATCGAAAATTTATTTGTTTTCAGATTTCAAACAAAATGGAAGGAAAAAAAAATATTTAAAAATGGAAACATTTGGGGACAGCATTCATTGAAAAACTATTTCAACAAGGGAATATTCAAAACAAAAATCTAAGTAACCTATTAAAACATTTGTACATTCATTAATGTCTACTCTTTCAATGTCAAATTTTTTATTTTTTTTTTCCAGCTTCATGTATGGCGAGCTCACCGACAAAGACACGACAGAAAAAGTGCGTCTGACGTTTGAGAACTACGAGATGAACTCATTTGAAATCCTCATGTACAAAAAGAACAGTGAGTACCCCGCATTCCCCTCATCATGCAAATGTATTCCGGAATGTGCACGGCTTACTTCAAAGTGGTCTCTGAACACTTCCTCGCCGGTTGATGCCGAGTCGCCAATGTTTGTTTCCACCTGTGTCGTCAGCGCGGAATCACTGTGACCTTTTAAGATGATTCCTTGTGCTTTTAGGGACGCCCGTGTGGTTCTTTGTCAAGATCGCGCCCATTCGAAATGAGCAGGAGAAGGTGGTCCTGTTTTTGTGCACCTTCAGTGACATCACCGCCTTCAAACAGCCCATCGAGGACGACTCGTCCAAAGGTTGGTCACGTGGAGACAAACTAAGAACTTGTTTTGGACTTGAGCGCGGTACGATGACAGTAAACTCAAATTAACGCGCTTCACAAGAAGCAGTTTGGAAGATAGTGAACAATTTTTCGAAAAATGAGGCTTCAAGCTCTTTTCCACTTCCAGTTTGAGGTGTTTGTCACACGAAGCAGAAAACAAAGAGACACATACACGTGCACTTGAAACAGCCACGTAATTTTGCCTTCGAAACATGCAAATGGGATCATAACTGAAACTAATTTGAACACAAACTGTGCAGCCAACCGTGTAGATCTTCTTTATCCTCTGTGAAGAATTCTAATATACTTCCCCCAAAGTGGTCAAGCCACGCACACAAGACCAGCACAATATTCACTGAAGTGAATGAAAACAGGGCGGCATGGTGGTCGACTGGTTAGCACGTCGACCTCACCGTGCAGAGGTATAGGGTTCAATTCCCGCTCCGTTTGGATGTTCTCCCCGTACCTGCGTGGGTTTTTTGTCAGGGTATTCCGGTTTCCCAAAAAACATGCATGGCAGGTTAATGGAACACTTTAATTTGTTGCTAGGTGTGATTGTGAGCAAATGGTTGTCCGTCTATGTGTGCCCTGCCATTGGCTGGCAACCGGTTCAGGGGGTCCCCCGCCTACAGCCCGAAGACAGCTGGGTTTGGCTCCAGACGCCCGTGACCCTTTGTGAGGATGAGCGGATTAGAAAATAGATGGATGGATGAATCAAAACATTACGGCTAAAACTGATTTTATTTTACCATCTGCCTAATTAGGTCCTTACTGTATGTTTTTATGAAGTACAATATTATAGAGTGCACGTTTTCTTACCGCTGCAATAGGTGAAAATCATCTAAGAAAAGTTTAAAAAAAAAAAAGGGGGGGGGGAAGAAAGCTTCACCCCTCTCACACGCTTTTTTTGGTGAGTATTTTCAGTGTTTTGCTGACGGGAAAAGGGCGACTATCGTATAACATCAATTTGAGAAAAAGGAAAAGAAGAAGACTTCCTGCACAACAAAATACTGGCTATAAGAGACAAGAGTTAATACTTGAAATCCTCGATACAGACTACATCGGTACAACATTATGTTTTTTTTTCCGACCGCCGCCCTCCTTCAGTCGTGCTCGTTTTTTTTTTTCATAAATCACTAAAAATACTGTGATGGTCTTTTTATAGCTGTTACCAGCCGTGGAAATACATACTGTATGGGATCATACAGGAAGAAAGTTCTTTTGTCTCTTGCATCAAAGTGTGTTTACTGGTGCACGGGAGATACCGACGCACTTTCAAATGATGAAATAAAATGTAAAAAACACAAATCCACAGGGAGATGAGTGTGAGAAAAGTGAGACGAATACAAGGGAATGTGGGTAGAATTCAATATTGACTTGCAAAAGGTGGACCCAAGCGGAGGGAAGCAAGCTGACGAGACAACAAAGGACACCTGGGCTAAGACACAAGTGACCGGAGGGAGCTGATTGGTAGACACGATGACGAGGCCTGACGAGAACAGGCGGAAACGAAACGTGATATCCTAACGGCGTTCCATTTGGCGTGTTGCAGGTTGGGGTAAGTTTGCCCGACTGACCCGAGCTCTGACCAGCAGCCGAGGCGTCTTGCAGCAGCTGCAGCCCACCGTCCACAAAGGAGAGAACGTACACAAGCACTCGCGCCTGGCTGAGGTAAGCCCCCCCCCACAACCTTCTGTCTACGTCTGTCCATCTATCTCTATGTGATTACCTCTTCCAAGGAAGGATTCGGTCTTCTACCAGCGTGTTTGGGTCCTTTTGCGATGCAGTGTTGAACAAATTTCAAAGTATCATCATCAAAAATTGCTTTAATGCAGATTGTTTATTCCCTTTGGTATTTTTTGAGACAGGATTGCACAATTTTTAAATTTTTTTTTTCAAGAGCTGTCTTTTTATATCATATATTTTTATCCCACTTTGACCAGATTTGAGTTGGCACTGGGGAGTGGGCTTGGCTTAGGGCGGGGGTCTCCAACATGGCACTGTTGTAAAAATAGCTCACCACACAGTAAGGTCAAAAAGGAACTGATCCAATTGAATGGGTTATTTATGGACATCCACCTAGCCGTTATCTGATCCTCTTTATCTGAAAACAACTCCATTTATGATTATCCATCCATCCATTATCCTCACAAGGGTCGCGGCGGGTGCTGGAGCCTATCCCAGCCGTCTTCGGGCAGTAGGCGGGGGACACCCTGAACCGGTTGCCAGCCAATCGCAGGGCACACCCAGATGAACAAACGCTCACACCTTGGGACAATTTTGAGAATCAATCAGCCTGTCATGCATGTTTTTGGAATGGGGGAGGAAACCGGAGTTCCCGGAGAAAACCCACGCAGGCACAGGGGAGAACATGCAAACTCCACACAGGAAGGCCGTAGCTGAAATAATCTTTTTTTAAATACAAAACAAGTTTTGTGGGCTGTAACGTTTTGTGTGAAATGAATAACGCAACAAGTTGGCATCGATCCTCTTTTGACCGAATTTGGGTTATTTTTGACCCAACAGTTTTAAAGAGCAGCGATGGAATATATTGACTTTCTTGAAACATTGGGGAAATGGTCAAGATGGAAACACTTGCAGACTTTTCTCGAAATAAAGTGTTACTTGTTGACATCGGTTTGCTACCTCGTTGAATCATGTCAATAATTCCAAACATGATCAGTGTCGTCACATACAGTCGATGAATATCATTAAAAAGTCATAAAACAAATGACATCAATATAATTACAGGTGATTTGAGCAAGGGTGTATCAAACAGGTAGCTCTTCATGGTCATCATCACCCGAAACGTATCTCTCAGTTTAAAGGTCGGTGCCCAGGACGAAGGCTACGGTTAGCATTAGCGCTAGGCTTAGGCTCGCGTTTGCTGTCACTTCACATTTGGACTGCCACTGATTCAGGGACAGCGGTTACTACAGTGGGCAGCTTATGTTATCAGGTTACAGGGTGCACGAAAGGATTCAAAGGCGTCACGTGTTTAAATCCTCGGCGGTGTTTTGTTTCCCGCGAGTCCTGTTCCAGGCTAACAGACGTTGCGTTTGTGGTCAGGTGCTCCAGCTGGGCTCCGACATCCTGCCCCAGTACAAGCAGGAGACCCCGAAGACGCCCCCGCACATCATCCTCCATTACTGCCTCTTCAAGACCACTTGGGACTGGGTCATCCTCATCCTCACCTTTTACACAGCCATCATGGTGCCCTACAACGTGTCCTTCAAAACCAAGCAGAACAACGTGACGTGGCTGGTGGTGGACAGCATCGTGGACGTCATCTTCTTGGTGGACATCGTGCTCAATTTCCACACCACCTTCGTGGGGCCGGCCGGCGAGGTCATCTCCGACCCCAAACTCATCCGCATGAACTACCTGAAGACCTGGTTCGTCATAGACCTGCTCTCCTGCCTGCCCTACGACGTCATCAACGCCTTTGAGAATGTTGACGAGGTGAGCGTGTTGACTGCAACGTGTGATGTGAAAAATATTTAGAATCTCATGGATACAATTTCTTGAAGTACTAATCAAATACTGGTCATAATTTCCGTATGGTTTGAGGGTCCAGAGCAAGTTGCATGGTGATCAGTGCGCCAAATCTTGACGAATTGAAAAAAATGTGATATTGGCGTTAGCCTTCTCAGAATGGAATTCGAAAAGCTGCAAGGGATGGGGGAGGAGAGATTTCGTCAGTGTGTCAGTGGAGCAGGACATTGACAGCAGCCCGTCACTGATGTTGCTGTACAATGGGTGCTGTCGACTGTCCGTGATGGGCAGATGATTGTTGGGTATCCTCTTTTTCTGACACAGATGCAAGGCTGTTTAACTCTGTACTGCAGACAGAATAATAGAACTTATGAGATGATCTAAGTTACTAAAAATAGTCCCAGCGCGAATTGGAAAAATCTAATGCTAATGGCTAAGCTTGTTTTGGGCTCAGGTTCAGGATTGGGTCGTTGGGCTACACTTGATCCAAACTTTGACTGCACATTTAAATACTCTCAATAGATTTTCATAGCGGTGCCTTCATCCAGCATCAATGCAGACGCTCACTCATATTTAATACATTGAACAAGCAGTCGCATTCTTTCTCCACTTTTTCTTTTTTCGCTTGTTTGTGAATGTCCACAAAGCTTTTTCTGGCGCTCTCGCTTTCATATTTACACATAATTGGCACATTATAATTGGTGGGGGGGGAAGGAGCTTTTCCATTATTCAAAGGGCCCGCATACACACACATTGCTGTGTCATCCGTGGCCTCCAACCGTTCAAACCTCACAGCCGCTGACGGAATGCAATGCATTGTGGGTGAGAACAATAGCAACCGTCAGATATTTTGACAGTTATAAATAATCATGTCTGCGTCTGGTTTTCTGCTACTGGATTTGCTTTATTCATCAACTCTGCTCCAAAAATTTATTGGACCTCAATTTAAGATGATCATGAACGTGGTCGCAGGACAAAATAAGTCCAGCGACTACCAAGGTCCTACATTGCAAACCGATTGGATGGAGCGGTCGTCTACTTTTGTGCTGATCCTTTGTCATGGGGGCGGAATTGTTGACACAGCTCTTGTATGTAATAGTTCTGGTTGACACATTATAATACACACACGGACAGTGATTGAATGGAGCTTGAGGGTTCTGCACTTTTCATTATATCAATGCACCAACTATGTGTGTTTCCGTGTCGTGTGTGTGTGTGTGTGTGCTTATGTGTTTCACGCCCGTGTGTATGTGTGTTTATATAAAATGCAGTGTTGGCATTTAGTGTTGCTGTCTGTATGTCAGCAGGCTCCCAGGGTTGGCGCGAGGTGTTATCGGAAAGCCGTGAAGGGAGCTCCGTTTGTGTGTGTGGATGCGCGTGCAACGTTTACAGCGGTCGGTTTCGCGTTTCCGTGCTTCAGCATCGCGGATGCTGACGAGTTCAAGCGTCAGGAGGACACAAGCGGTCACTTGGCGGTCGTCGACACTGAACTGGACACGCTGGAGCTGGTAGACAAGATGTAATATTAGAGATACGGCGAATATATGTCAAGAAAACCCCCATCTAGATATTGCAATGAAAAAACTGTTCCATGTGTTGTTGCACCAGACAAAAAATACAAAATTGTTCAACTTCTTTGTGCGATTACAAAAAAGAGAGAAAATATTAGTCAAATAATATTACGGCGCAAAAATACTAAAATAGTGTGGTGAAATTGGTAGAAGTTAATGCAACCACTGACATTATTTTTTTTAGAATATTAAATATAAATAATACACAACAATAAAATGTATAAAAATATAAACATTGCAACAAAAATGGCACAAAATTCAAAATATGACACAATACTCAATATAAGGTTAGAAAACAAATACACAAGGCACACCAAAATGTTTGAGAAAAATTACAAATTTGAGCCCAAAGAAATACAGAACGATTCTAATTAAAAATAGACACATTATATCGACAATAAAAATAATCAATGAAAATATTTGAAAAAAAATTATGGAAAAATAATCTACAAAAGTTGTGTAAAATCAACTTTAAGGGAAAACAATTCAACGAAAGAAAAATCAAAAATAATAAAAAATATCAACAAATTGTTTTTGTTGAAAAGTATAAAAATTACAACAAATATATTTGAAAATAATTTTAGGCAGTAGACAACCTGCAAAAAGGTGGCCAACTTAAGGAGACACAAGTATTAAAAAAGGTCATTCATACATTAAATAGAAAAATGTGTTTACTTTGCTAGTAGTCTTCACAATCATTCCAAGGCAAAACTATACAAATCACACAGAAATCACCAATTCAAAATCTATTTTCTTAATTGCAAAGAGTGAGAGGAACGACCGCTAAGCTTTGGTTCAGCCAATCAAATGTGCAACATCATCATCAACAGTGATAAAAGTTCCCCTTTTAAAGTTCGCAGCAATCTTCGGTGACCTGCCAAACATTGCGCCGAACTTCCTGCCTGCTCACCATTGCAATTTCGGACAATCACATTGATGAACTTCCTGTTTCCGAGGCAATCGCCGGTCAGCTTCTTTGCAATTTCCGAGGGGTCGTTCTGCACTGCGCTCCCAATTTTCTCCCAAATTGCTCCGGAGTTGGTCGGCGAGCCGACGTCCAGTCGGGGACCTTAATGAGCCGCCTGAATAACTGTGATGGCCTTCGAACAGGGAGGGCGAGGCGGCCTTGATGAGCAATTTGGTTATTCTTGGCCATGTCATTGTGTTGTTTTTTTGGAATGTTTTTTTTTTTTTGGAGTCATGTTTTTATTCATCACTAGATTGTGTATTCATTTTTCTTTGTCTCCTTTTTCACCCTCGCCTCCCTTTTTTTGTTGTTTGCATGCCCCCCCTCCCCTCCTTCCACTTTGCTCTTGGCCTCTTTGCATGCATGGAACGTTACGTGGGAAGAATTGGAACCGGCGAGCTGTCACTCAAGTAGGCTTCACTTTGATGAGAATATGATAATGAACAAGTTGGTGTTTTTCTTGTTTTGCACGCACACACACACACACACACACACACACACATGCGGGCACGCCGTTGACCTTGCACGGTTAGTCGCCAAAGTGCGCAGCAGTCCTGAATTCCAATCACAGGACGGTGCGTCTTAGTTTTCCTGTAAATAAAAACCTTCAAAAAACAAAAAAAGGAAGCCGCTATATTTACATCATGCTTTATGTTTTTGACCCGTATTTAACAAACATTTAACTTATCCTTTTCGAGAAGCAAAAAAAAAGGATCATTTTTGAGATTGAAGTACTTTTTACTGAAAGAATTCTGGGGGTGAGAAAGAAGGCACAATGTTTTGGAAAAAAAAAAATCTAACAAAAAACGAAGATGTGAGATAAATGTTTTTGAAATGTGGCCATTTTCACTTATTGAAGTCATATATTTTTCAAAGGAAAAAAACAACCATAAAATTACAGATGTATTTGGTGAGGGAAAAAAAAAATCATACTCTCATATGAGATTAGAATTAGAATATTTTTCGGTGAAAATTTCTGACAAGATGAAAAAATGTTCATTTTTTTTTTTTAAGTAAAAGGGTCAAATGTTAGAAGTAACACATTATGTCACTTTTTTTTGAGCGAGAAAATCTAATCACAATTTCTCTTTATTTTTCAAGAAGAAAAGTAATATTAAACAAGTTTTAAAAATAAGAGAAATTGTAGCATTTTGTAATTAATATTTTTTTAGCAACAAGTCTTAAAATCATGAGATGGAATTTCTACTTTCCCAAGATAAAAGTCGAAGCGTTGCTTTTTTCGGGAAGAAAAAAAGCATTGTTAAGGGGTTTAAGTTGTACTTTTTCAAGAAAAAAAACGTCAAAGTCATGTAAAGAGATTAAAGTACAATTTTTTTTGGGGGGGGGTGATTAAAAAAAGTCACATTGTTGAAAAATCTAAGCGCCTGACGCCTAAAAAGAGTGCTTTGTTCCAAAAACGAGATTTAAAAAAAAAAAAAAAGCCATGCAGAAACAAACAGATGTCTCATCCCGCAGCCCAGAGCTCATCGAGGTCCCTGCTGACAACGTCGATGCTCCAAAACAAATAAGACACTTTTTCATTCTCAAATGACTGCGTGGTATCCCAGAGCAGCAGGACACTGAAGCTTGAAAGCAAACATTACATCAGCTTCACACCGCAGCGCGTTCACAACTAACCCAGCCATTAAACAAACGCTTAATCAAGCAAGTTTTTTAACGACCGCGCTTTATGTCGACAAATGAAATTGCTAACCGACACTTTTGCATACGTCTGTACGCTACTTGTTATCAAAGCGATCTTCACTGTTCTGGTAGGAAGTGGCAGCATGCTAAGTTGAGTATATGACAGACAAGTTGAGTACGACACAGTTGATGGGGCTTGAACATGTATTCATTTATTCTTGATGAGGTTTTGGGAAGATGGCTGGTTTGGGTTTTGCCTCACACACTTCGGTTGACGCTGAAAACGTGCTTGTGCAGGGAGCTACTCGTAGCTGATATGTGGAATGCGTCAAATATCGGATTCATCACTTTGAGCTTAACTACAAACACATAAGATGTTTTGGGCAGCTCACATGATGCAGTTGACGGTACTTCAACTTGCGTGCACTGTGCTTGCAAGAGGAGCACATCAAAAACCGTTCACACTTTTTATTCGCAACTAAGTCAAAGTCAAAGGCTTCAATGAAAAACGGATGATTTTGGAGGAAGCCACGCAAGCGCGGTGAGAAATGCAAACGCCAGACAGATTCAAACCCAGAACATCTTGACTATGAGGCAGACATGCTAGCCCGCTCTAACTCCGTGCCACGAGATTATTTCCTTTGGGCAAAAATTGTTTTCCAAATCAGTTCTCTCATCTCGGATAATTGAATTTGTGCTCCTCAGAGTGATTTTTCTTTCTGAGAGGGCGATGCGTCCGTCAGACGCCACATAGATCGGATCGGGTGACGGCCAGCGCAGCAGTCGTATGGGCTGCACACCGCCAAGCATTAGCCCAATCAATACGCCTCTCTCACACACACACACACACACACACACACACGCTCAGATAGTCAAGTGTGGGCAATGAGTCTCTGAAGCAGCACAAGGATTGTGCGTGTCCATTTGAATCACTGGTGGTGGGTGTTTGGACAAATTGCTGAGTCGACATTGCGGTCAAGCTGTAAATTCTCTGCACGTTTTGTAATAGAATCACTTTCATAACATGCACGAACGCACGTTGTGTGTGTGTGTGTGTGTGTGTGTGTGTGTGTGTGTGTGTGTGTGTGTGTGTGTGTGTGTGTGTGTGTGTGTGTGTGGCCATCTACCCATTTGCATACCCATTCATGTTTGTGGTTATCTATGAACACGACGTGACGTGTATTACTGTGTAAGTGTCAGAGCCTGTCATTTAAAGGGAATGTGATATAATAATAATTTGTGGTAGGAGGAAGACACAATACAATATGGAACTCATAAGCTAAAAACAAACCCTGTATAAACCATCCTACCAGGGCTTGGCAATCGGGTATTAAAATCTTTTTTTCACAAAAATGTAATCACCCTCACCCCACTTGCTTATAGAAAAAGCGTTGACAGTATTGCCTTTGTTTAATTAGACTTCTGGGATTCGCCTTATTTCTCCTGATACCAAACAAGCTATTAAACAGTTTTCCCCCCAGCATTAACTTGCATCAACTTCCACAGAAATAATGGAAATTAATATTTTTTTCTTTGAGTTGAGTGAACTTCACAGCAAGCAGCCGATAGTGAACAATTCTTCAAAAAAGAGGCTAATTGCTTGCATAAGGCTGTTTCTAGCATTCCCAGTTGAAGTTTGAATATCAAACTAAAAAGTATTGATTTGTATTTGTTCAGACTACATAACTTTGAAAGCTTGCTTGCTAACACATGACGCAAAACACCATTGAGTAATGATGGGTAGCTTAGCTTAACATGATTCTCCACTCTCTAAGTGTTGTAGTTTTTTTTTCAGGTTTTTTTTTTTTTTTTGGCTACTTCTTAGTCATATTTTGCTCCACTCTTTTGTTTCAATACCCAGTTGTTCATCTTTAAATTTAGATACGACTGTTTATGGTCAGCTTATTTTAGCATCCTTCTACAGTGGCTTAAGCTAGCTCCTGTTAGCTAAGCATCAAACTAACCCTGTAGACAGTTCCATATGTTTAGCATGCTCGCTCCAGTCAAAGCGTGTTAGGTAATCCTTTGTTTGCGAGTGTTCAACTTTTCAACATGAACAAATATTTTCCTTTCCCTTTATCTGCCCCCGCAGGGCATTAGCAGCCTGTTCAGCTCGCTGAAGGTTGTCCGGCTCCTGCGTCTGGGCCGAGTGGCCCGCAAACTGGACCACTACATCGAGTATGGTGCCGCCGTTCTGGTTCTGCTGGTGTGTGTGTTTGGCTTGGCCGCTCACTGGTTGGCCTGCATTTGGTACGTACATATGCGTAATAATCTCTACAGCCAATTATCGTAACAAGGCCACCCATTCAGCTAATTACGTACTAATTTAGAGGCTGTCTCCCCCCCACGTATAATTACTAAACGTGTACTGTATGTTTCAGTATCTTCTGGAGGTTTTTTTCATGTAAATGTATACTGTCTCCAAAGTGTAATAATTTCTAAGGCACGGCACGTATTTTACATGAGGAAAATCGCACCACCAAACAAGAACGTCACAAAGAGTACATCTACTGAAATAATGATGACCATCTCTCAATTGCCGTACAAATATATTTACACGGCTTGAAATGTGGGCTGTTCATTGGAACACGTTGCTATTTTTTGATGTATGAATGTCAACAGATTAATTGGACCCTCTGTTATCTAGTGCTGGAGCATTTCATTGTTCTGCCTGTCACTATACATCGCTGACAACGATAGATGAACATTACTTTTAGCGGGAAAAAATTAATATAATAAAAGGCCAGGTCATCCTTCCCTGAGGTAAATAATAACAATTATTATATACTATTTATTTTAGATTTTAAAAAGGTTGTATTTGTATATTCTTTATATTAAATAATGCATTCTTTTAATTAACGTATTCATTCTCCTTTTTACGTTTAAACAATTCTCGATTATTTCATCATAATTATTTAACCAATCATCAAATATAAAATGCATTAAAATGGTAATGGGGATTGACATTAATACTTAGTGAACAAGAATACATTATTTAATATTTAAATACATATTTCTTTGTCACTTCACTCATTTAATGAAATTTATTTTACCCCCCAGTAAAGTATATTGCTGGCTTTATTCAAATTTGGTCACTTTCATTTTTTTCATTTTTCACAGTTTTTTTCCCCCAGAAATAATGATTGGTCAGTTCCGACAAAGGCAAGTGTTTTTTTTTTTTTTCTCAAATTACTGACCAATACAAAGTACTAAAATGGACTGCTTTATTTTTGGCGATGCAATCAGTTTTGATACAGCTGTATCAGTCAACAATTACTTAATGAGAAAAATGAATAAATTAATCAATTTTAGGAGAGAAATGAAATTGCAACAAATAAAAAAGGACACTTGGCAATCACAATGCTCGGTGAGCCGGATAAAAGAATGGGTCATGCTAGTCACTTTACATGCATTCCTTTGTTCCGGATGTACCTAATAAAATGTCACAACACATGAATTCCAGCCCTGATAAAAATAGCTGCTGCATGGATTCCCACAGTGCGGTGTCGGCGGTTGCTATGGTCGCACCGCAAGCTAAAAAAAAAAAAAAAAAAAAACCTTAATTGCCTTTACCTTGGATGACAGCGATGCTGTCACTTGAAATCTCTTTATTTTTGCCTGTTTCTTTTTTTGTGGTGGATCCTCACATTTTGTCAGTTTGCTGAGAGGGCAAAAATCTACATTGAAAAAAAAAAAAAGAGTTGGTAGAACTGCTGCATCATCACTTCCGAGCTATCTTTCTCAATTTAGAGATGATTTAATTTCCAGAACATTAACTGCAAGTGTAAATGCACAAGTAATGAAGACTCTCTTTAAGTTCAACAACCCACCTGAACATCATCATTACACAGCTGTAATACTTTCCTATTTAGACAGAGTTTTGGCGGCATCTCAGGAGGTTTCGGAGAGTACACACAAAAAAAACCCCGCAAATTGGTCAGTTAACTCTTTGAGCGCCGTTGACATGAAATGCCGTCAACGGGAGTCCGAATGATGAGTGCCATCGACGTCAATTGTGGTGACGGGTTTTTTTTTTTTTTTTAATGGGAATGGGTGGAGAAAAGTCTTGGCCAGTTATGGCATGTTGATTAAGCCAGTATAGTTAAAATAAACTATTCCCTGCAGATGGCAGCATTAGATCTCTTTCGGAGGAGCTCACCATGTGCCAAGCTCCTAAAACATGGCAGACCGTCACAAATGCGACCGTTACAAGGAGCTTGTGATTGATCAAAGTTTAAATCTACTACGAGTGTCTTAAAAGAGAGAAAATATGATGATTATTTAAATTTAGAAGACACAATAATGTAATCCATGAACATGCGCACACACTACTAAATACGACTACTACTCGAAGCGTTCAAATGTACTGTATTGGAGAGTGATTATATAAGAAGAAAGAAGTTGGATATTTAGTGTGCAGTGAAAATTCAACGGGGGCCTAACTAAGAGTGTTTTGGAACCCATAGAAATGACACGCAACACTACGAATACTAAATAGACATAGTTTTGTCAACTAAAATTGTTACACTGGTGATTCATTGTAAATACATTATGTTGCCGTCAAAAGCACAGTTTCATCGTTGTTGGCATCAAATATATTTTCACAAAAAGCTTGTTTTCTGCATCTTTTTGGGTCCAAAATGGGTGATTTGGGGTAAACCAACCAGTGTTTTACTGCAGGTTTCAAAAACAATTGACATAGTCATAAAACACAACATTCTGTGAGCCTTGCAAGATCACTCAGAGTGCTCTATGTTGGCTGGCGCTCAAGTTTCTCTCTTTTGAAAATAGCTGTCCTTGAGTTGACGAATAGTCAACCGTGAATTTGCCAGGATTGCTCACCACTGCTCCACCAACGAACACTAAACTCGACTTTGCCGACCATCCCCGATGGCAGGTACAGCATTGGCGACTACGAGGTGATCGACGAGGAGACCAACATCGTACGCATGGACAGCTGGCTGTACATCCTTGCCGAGACGGTGGGCACGCCTTATCGCTTCAATGCCAGCGGCTCGGGCAAGTGGGAGGGCGGTCCCAACAAGGACTCGGTCTACATCACCTCGCTCTACTTCACCATGACCAGCCTGACCAGCATCGGCTTTGGCAACATTGCGCCCACCACAGATGGAGAGAAGATCTTCGCCGTGGCCATGATGATGATCGGATGTGAGTGGAACGTTTCGATTGGCGGTTCAATGTCGGTCGAAATTTAGGAATTCAGAGATTTGTTTGAATTGGTGGAAACATGTACAAGGACTGAGAGCTTCATATTCGCATTTCAAGACAATGTTGAAAGTTAAGCATTCAAATGAGGGGTGGTAGCCTGAAAATCTATTCAAGTACACGAACAAAATATTTGCACTTCCAATGAGCGCAAACAAGCAGTGATACTTTGAATCCAGCCCGGTGTCCGTCGACATGTGACAGTTGGCCTTTAGCGCCTGTGTTATTCTTGCCTTCATCGGGCTCATTAGCTCCAGTCGGGCCCCGCTGCTGAATTATTAAGATGTGCCGAGCGTGATGCATGGCTCGCTTCTCGCACCGCCGCTCATAAAAACGTCTCGTAAAAAATAATACCCGCTAGAATCTCGTAAAAAATAATACCCGCAAGAAGGCAGAGTGCAGGCTGGAGAGGAGTGTTTTTAGATAATATGGAGGGTTTTACGCCGAGCTACAGCTACAGCGACACTGAAGGGGGATAAATCCAGACAAATGCCTTTTGATAGGATACGGAGAAACACTAAAATTATTATTGCTCTCAGGAGAGTGGATACCGCCACCAAGGACGAACAATCTTAATTTGGAGGGAACGCTTTTCCTCAGATGCCTCAAAGTTGTTGTGAAGATGACGGACGAGTGTGTTGAAATGTCTGGAATCTTGACGAACAAAATATGTCGCAAAACAATTAAACATTTGTGAGTTGAGGCTATTTGACAAAGTTTTTCATTGGTAAAATGTTAATATCATGCCAAATTTTTTTATTTGGGTTAAAACGTAACTATCCAAGAGGATGCTTGTCCTTTAAAAATATATTCATGGATCATAAATTGCACACATAAAAAATAATGGACACAATTATATCGAATATTCGCTCATAAAAGTGCTACATCATTGAAAAAAAAACAATTGAATTGAATTTTCTCTGCAATGTTACAGAATAGCTCAGAATATTATTTGAATGTGCCTTAGGCCTACTAGCGAGTGTATTTTTATTCGTTGTGATGGTGGTACATGGTGGAAAAAGTTTGGCTTGACATTGGAAACACTGTGAAAATTCCCTTCATCTCCGGTTAAAACCTCAAACGTCACCTTGCCTGCTTTCCTTGAGACGCCGACTTATGTTAAAGGTCTTAACTGCCAAGAGCATGGCAATTCCGCCCCCCCCAACATGCCGCACACTTAAGCGAGGCCGTTGATGCGTGACCGCGTTAGCCCATCAAGTCATCACACCTCCGCCGACCAGAGCCTGAAAATCATCACCCCCTCCGCCACCCTCGCCGAAATGTTTCATCGCATTTTCACCAGGAGTCGTGCCATTTAAGCAGCATGAGACAACGGTTTCCAACCCCGTGAGGATGCCCGTGTGGATGCAATTTGACTTGTCGTCCGTTTGTGCTTGGCTATGAAATATGGATGCCCTGATACTGTTCTATTTTTAACATCAGCTCTGGATACCGGTGCTGCCAGCAGAAGATCACAGCGCAAGGAGGGGATTGAGGGGGAGGGGATGGAGGGGCGGTGGTTGGGGGAAAGATGAGGGAGGTGGAGGGGACTGCGATGCATATGTCTTGTTGCCATAGCAACTCGTGGCTTGGGGCTGACAACTAACTTGTCTTTTAAGTACCTTCAAACGGCTCCGTCGATCTGCATTGTTTCCGCCTTCTTTGCAAGAAGTCCAACTTTGCAAACATCTTTGTTTCGTCGGCATGCTGGGTGGCTTAACGTGACCCGTTCCATGTCAAACCGTGGTGACAAATAGTCGTTAATGGCAGCAATTTAAAAAAAAAAGACATTTCTGCCCCTTAGGTCACTGCTGGGTCAATATATTTAATAAATACTATGTTAAAAAGTGTGTGTGTGTGTGTGTGTGTGTGTGTGTGTGTAAGAAAAGAATAACCGAAAAAGTAATCCTTTGACCAAAGTTTGAAACTTGAAAGCAATTCACTTTTACCCGCAAGAGGGTTATAAGAAACTTCCATTGCTTGTACGATGCGCAATGTCAGATAACACGGATGAAGCGTCTGAGGTCTTCCTCGGGGGGGAGTTTGGGGTACTTTTTAATTAGCGATATTGTGTTGATCGCACTTTTGATAGCGCGCCGCAACGCCAACGAACACAACACAGGTTACTGTCATCAGCATCTGAGGATAATTGAAATGTGCGGCTGGCATGCCTCCTCACCGACCCTTGCCGAAGAAGGGCTAATTAGGCTTACACACACACACACACACACACACCTACACACATAGCAGTGACTTTGATCCACACAAGCCCAAAAAGATGCCAGCCAGCTGTTAGGTTGGCTTCAACAACCCAGCTGTCTGAGAGACACACATTCACGTCCCCACGTCGTTGCTCACAAGTGACCCGACGGCAGAAAAAAAAAAAAAAAATTCTGGCGTCAACGTCAAAATGTTTAACCCTGCTGTTATGACCAATTGGCTCATTTGAAAATGGGGGTGGGAGGGGGGAAGCTCTATCGTGGGCATGTGGGAAGGACACAAAGTGGCAACTGATTTGAAAATGAGGGTGGGGGGAAGGTCTATCGTGGGCATGTGGGAAGGACACAAAGTGGCAAAAATCGAACTATGCAAGTACGGTTTCAGTTCACTGTTAAAAACGAAACTTCTGCCACTCAATTGCAGTTTTTAGCTGACAGTAGGGCTGGGGCTATCAAATATTTTTCCAAAAGATTATTCTACCAATCATCCCAACGATTACTCGAGTAACTGCATAACAAATGATTTTACTACAACAAAACAACAGAAATAAAAATGCACGCGAGATGCAGGTATTATATTTCTCGCCATCATTCCCTTCTGCACTATGGCTTTAAAAGGCGGGGCCTAGCTTGGTGAGTGATATGGGACTCAGTGAACAGGAGGACTGTATAGCATTGGCTGTTTTGAGTTCAGGTTACCTTTAGTTTGTTTTCGTGAGTAGCGAGTCTGTGTTTGGAGTGCCTAAAAGTGAGTTGAACTTGTGGCGGTGTATGAATGTGCTTTTTTCATGTTTATTTTGTTAGTTTGTTCAATAAAGTGAAAGTACACCGGTGGGACATGTGATTCTGCTGCAAGAATAGTAACAATGAGTTTTTCAGTTTGGCTAAATAATTAACTGTGTCATATTTTTTTTTGGTTCATTTTTGGCTAAACAAAAACAGTGATTCAATTCAAATTGTTTTGATTTCAAACCAGCGGCTCAATTCGACCCAGCACAAAAGGGTCGGCTCAGGTTAATTTAACACTCCCTAAAATAAAATAAAAAATGCAGAAATGTTCAGTACAAGAAAAAAACAATCTTTGTCCTGTGAATTTTCTTGATCTAATAGTTATTCCAGTAATTGATTTAATCATGAGTTATGAACAATGTTTATTGGGATTTTCCACACCCAATTTTTGACACTTTTGCATCATTTAACACGCCCAGGGTACATGATTGCAATTCCTGACAAAGCGACCGTTCCGTCACGATTCCCACCTGTGTGTTGATACAACTTCTTCTTCTTTCCCCTGCAGCTCTTCTGTACGCCACCATCTTTGGTAACGTGACCACCATCTTCCAGCAGATGTATGCCAACACCAATCGCTACCACGAGATGCTCAATAGCGTGCGGGACTTCCTCAAGCTCTACCAGGTGCCCAAGGGCTTGAGCGAACGAGTGATGGACTACATCGCGTCTACCTGGTCCATGTCGCGGGGCATCGACACCGAAAAGGTACGCGGCCGTGCCGTGCCGGCTTGTGTCATTTCTGCGGTGTGTCGGTTCTCTTTAAGCTTGAATGCATACTGGCTGCGAAGCTAGAAAACACTCTGTCGACAGCATTGAGTGTGCAACAAAGCTGAATCGTCGTCACAGACGCGCGAGAGTTTATCTTCGCAAGATTAGCATAAAAATCGAAAGCTTGGACTGCTTGCAGATGAGACATAATGCCGCATTCCAGAAAAATAGATATTTTCTGATTTCTGAGAAAGTATGCATTGGGTGGTTTGTATGGTTTTGTTAGTCAAACGAAACGCACGCCGTATTTGTCTGCGCCCACGAGGATGCCACGACTAGAGGCTCTAAAAATGGCACCTAATCCGTCTGTGACATTCATCTTCAAAGAGATTAGTTTAAAACGCAGAGCACCGATTCCTAACAATGCGCCCGGCAGGTGTTTGCAGTCCTGTTGCACAATTTAATGTTGTTGTTGTTATTGGACGGCGAGATAATCTGCTTTTGTCTGCAGTGAAAATGACACCCAATGGATAATATCATTTTGAAAATCTCTATTATAGCCAGACTGTTATGATGGTGTTGAATTTTTTTTAATTTTATTTTTTTTTTGCCGTTCAGGTGCTGCAGATTTGTCCTAAAGACATGCGAGCGGACATTTGCGTCCATCTCAACCGGAAGGTGTTCAAAGAGCACCCGGCCTTCAGACTGGCCAGCGACGGGTGTCTGCGGGCGCTAGCTATGGAATTCCAGACCATCCACTGCGCGCCCGGCGACCTCATCTACCACGCGGGCGAGAGCGTGGACAGCCTCTGTTTCGTGGTGTCGGGTTCACTGGAAGTCATCCAGGATGACGAGGTTGTGGCCATTCTAGGTGAGTTTGGCCCTTTTAAAGTGGAGACGTTTTTGGAAATTAAAAATTCACTTGATCAAGTTGGGCATTTTCATGTTGGGGTGGACTCACTTTTGTTGCCAGAGATTTAGCACATTTGTGGGCGTTGAGTTTTTTTTTTATCCTGGAAAAAAGGAGATTTTTGCCAATTTTAAAAGAACCGATACTGCGGATTAGATCGTCCAACCAATTAATTCTTCAGGCTCTAGTAAAATTGAAATGTCTCCAATTAGGATAAAACCAATAATTTTGAGAATGTGGGCGTTGAGTTTTTTTTTAATACTGGAAAAAAGGAGATTTTTGCCAATTTTAAAACAACCGATACTGCGGATTAGATCGGCCAACCAATTAATTCTTCAGGCTCGAGTAAAATTGAAAGGTCTCCAATTAGGATAAAACCAATAATTTTGAGAATGTGAGGTTAAACAAGGCTCACATGCTCAAATGTTGGTCTGTACTCAGATAAACCGCAAATTTTCCTCATTGTCGAACTAATAAAGGTTGTTTTTATTTGAAAGCAACTGAATTTGTTCTCTGCAAGGCCACAAGAACAGCAGAAGCCATTTTGTTGCATTTCCAGAACTTTGTTCCTTTTCTTCCTGCCTACCAGCACCGTTTTAAATGTTCCCAACTGTTTTGAAAAGCCGGCAGCTTGTTGTTTTCTGAGTCATAAATTCGCACTTTAGTCGGATATACTCGGCACACATGGTTGGCGGATGTTTGGAAACACTTCGTACTTTTGTTCTCCAGCCTAGTGGTGTAGTTTGGATAGCCACCAATTGTCTAAATAGAGCCACATATGTGGATCCAAACACTAGTCGTGTGATTGAGGAGCTACGGTGATGAAGTGCTGCCCCTCTGAACGAAAATGGATGCTTGTACTGCCTTTATGGGGGCTTGTGTGCACTTTTTAAGACTCAGGAACACACATACCATGAGAGAGCAAGACTATGATAAGAGGGGGGAACATTTTTTTAAATTTCTGATCCTTGGGCTACTGGATGAAACCATGTCACAGACATGTTCGGAAGACACATGGGAACTGTTCTGAATTGTGTCGAAAAGGCATTACAACTCCTTTAAATCCCAGGAGTATGTTAGGAGCTGACAACTTCATCAGTTATTTCACCACATGACTGTTTCGACCAAAACGGTATGCGGATCAGAACCATTGCGCCGTCGTATGATTCCACTAAGCCCCCGTCTGAAGTCTTACTTGAAAAAGTCAATACACCGTCAGGCCGATACGACGGAGGACCCCTCGGGCCCAGCCTCCAGTGATAAACAAGTTACTACCGTGGATCAAAATCTCATTAGCCTAATAGTGCTGCAGAACACACACAACACAGAGGATAATGAAGCCCCACAAGGATGTGGGCAAGATCGCGTCCCCGGGGGAAGATGCCGACCAGAGTTAGACCCAGCCTGCCAACCTTATGGGGGAAGGAAAAAAAAAAAAGACCTGCTGTTTGGTTGCTTAGTCATGCAGGTTGGCAACACTCCCTCTGTTGCGATTTTTCTGTTGAGATGGATATTTATTGGAAATGCGGTGGGAGGGACAGAATGAGCTGTGAGGGGAGACAGGCAGAGAAAAGCAAGAAGAGAAAACGAAAACAGCCGAACAATGGTATGACCGCAATAAGTTAGCATGACACCTCGTGAGGAAGGAACATGAAATGGGATGGGACGGGACCACCAGACTCGTAAAGAGCAACGTAGCTGACAGCAGCACTTATTGGAAAGACCCCACCCTTCACTCTTTGCTCACCGTGCATACCACCACCTGCAATCTCTGTGCCAACGGTGAAGCTGTTTTTAGCCTCGACTCGTATTCATTGTTATACAGTTGTACCTCTACTTACGAACGTCTCTTCATATGAAATTTTCAAGTTACGAAATGCCTCAACAGGAAAATATTGCCTCTCGTTACGAAAGAAATTTCAAGATATGAAAGGTAAGAATACAGTATGGTCTTCGACTCGTAGCGCCGAGTTTCCTGAACGCAACATACTTATAGCTGCTCTGCCATTGGCTGTTACCTGGCATCTTCCTGATATCGCATTGGCTAAGAGGGACCTGTACCGTATGTGTCTTTGTGTGTAGATAGCTAAATCGAGAGATCTGTGTCGATGCAGTGTCCTCGTCATTCTCCCCTCGGGCCATGAAGCGTTGCGATAGTTTTATGTCAATCGGAATCACCCAGAAAAAGTGTTCACCAGTCGGGCGATCGCTCTCTATGCCGATGTTTGCCTTGGACATTTTCGAAGGATTGTTAAAAGCCGACAAAAGCAAACATCCTTGGATCATTTCTTTACAAAACTCCAGGCAAAATCCACTTCTGAGAGAGAACATGAATTTAAGAGGGCAAAAAACAATGAGGACGCAGTTAAAAGTTAAATGACGATCATTTTTATTTTTTATTTTTTTTTACATTATGCACAAGTCATTTATTGTGCAATAATCTAATTGTAACATGTATCGGTTACATATTTTGATGCATTTGTATGCTTTACAAAACATTTATGCCTGAATTTTGGGGGGCTTGGCACGGATTAGTGCATTTACATGGAAAACGCGCCTCTATTTACAAAACTTTCTCCTTCAGAAATTTCTTCCAGAACCAATTAATTTTGTAAGTAGAGGCACCACTGTATTATGTAAATATGGCGGTATCTCAATATACAGTGTTTTGCATATGTATTTGCTTTTATTTTGCTCTATTTAACCCTCCGAGGTCATTATTGTAAATGGGAATTTGCTCTCAAATGCCTCATCTGGGTAAACAAAAGGGGAAAAAAAAAAAACAGTATTCCATCGTAGAGGAAGGCACATGACAAGTGGGGAACAGGACAGTTCCCAACTGAATAGGACAAGGCAGGCAGGACAGGATGGTGACAGCTTAGCGACAGTATATCGTCACTGTCAGGCGGACTGGGCGGGACTGTGGTAGTGATCTAGTGAGTGCTAACTGCGTGTGTTGGAATTGGCTAGACAGAGCCAAACACTCCTCTAAAGAATTTGAGCGCAAATAAGAGGACAGCCTCGGAGCAGAAGCCTACTGGCTGTGTAAAGCAATTAGACAGCGGCTCCCGCACCGAGCGACTAAATCCCATAAGCGCGTGTCGAGGGAGACAAAATACCCGAGCTTTAGCACTTTTCTCCTTTTACTACGCAGGCAAGGGGGATGTCTTCGGGGACGTCTTCTGGAAGGAGGTGACGCTGGCTCAGGCCTGCGCCAACGTGCGCGCTCTGACGTACTGCGACCTCCACGTCATCAAGCGCGACGCCCTGCAGAAGGTGCTCGAGTTCTACACGGCGTTCTCCAATCACTTCTCCCGCAATCTGCTGCTCACTTACAACCTGCGCAAGAGGGTGAGTGACGTTGCCCACTCGCACCCAAAAAAAAAAAAAACACGTCGGTAACGAACCCCGCGGGATCACCAGCACTCCACGCAGCCAGACGATTTCCGCCGCGTGCAGACAGACAGCGACGGTAAATTGGCCCCCGTCTATTAAACCCTCTCCGTCCTCCCTATCCTTCAAGTCTGAATTGAACAAGCTCAGTTGTGACCAATCATTACCTCATTCATATTAAGGTCACCCTGCCCAAGAGAGAGCGAGACTGAGATTGAATTGCCGGCCTATGAAGAGGCAATCTCATCTGCGGCACAGAAATAACGGTTGGCCAGCAGTGGGCTGGGGGGTTGGGAGTATTATTATTATTTTTTTTTAGCTATACACCCTGCTGGGAAATCCCGAGGTGGATTGAAAAACTGCTCACCAAGGTTGTATTGGCCACTGATGAAATCCTGAGCCCGGTGCGCTTGTTCGTCAAGGGAGATTTGACAAGAAAAATGGATGGTGTTTCGTTACTTGAAGCCGATTGGGTTTCATGTTCAGCCTGATGTTGTCGCACACACAGAAACCTTCAGCTTTGTCTATTTGGAACTTTGCCCGTGCTTTTTGGTGTTGCGGCCAATTGACCGAAAGGAAAACAAGGTGTTCGACATGGGCCGATTACAGGTTTGAGGGTTGACCGCGGTTTTAAAAAAAAGTCAAGGTTTCGGTAAGGGGTGAAGCGACTAAGCTGGGCACAGTATAATAGACCGCTTGCAGAGTTGAGTAAACGAGCCGCCTCTTTGAAGTGAATTGCCTTCGATGAACTTTTCTTTCCTCTCCTTCTCAGCGAGCAGAGAGGGGAGGGGTGAGCAGTGAGGCACGGAGGAGGGTGGTGGGGAGCAAGACGAAAGAGACGCTGCAAACGCAGATACACTTTTTGCTCAGATGATGATGATGAGGTGCCAGCGGGTACTATTTAGCTCCGAGGACAACATGAGTAGCCCACGGATCTGTTTTGAAAATAGCATACGAGCGATCAGACACTGTGATTTACTCAGAAGAGTTATAACGGAAGGATACCTTTATTTATTTATTTAAACGTCGCGCGATACGCATTTCTTATTTTATATTTTGTTTAAAATTATAACGGAAGGATACCATTATTTAGTTATTTATTTAAACGTCACGCGATACGCATTTCTTATTTTATATTTTGTTTAAAAATAAAATTGTGTTGAATGGAAGAAAATGCTGTTTTTATTTTCCCACATATTTCAAAAAGAGGTATTACGAGTAAGCATAAATATCCGTGATATTTTTGCTTACGATTATCATACCGTCAGAATCTAATATCGGCCCAAAACCTAATCTCGTATTAGCATGAGAATAGCCCGCCGCCCCAAAACGGGTTGATGAATGGAGACCTTTGGGAACTGGTTTTGAAACTAATTTCTTCCAGCGCCTGAAAATATTTTCGACATCCCACCTGACACTTAAATCATTTGTCATGCATCTAATTATTCGAAACAGGATAGCCTGCCTTGGCATCAATCCTGTCGAAACGAAACAAGAGAATAAACGCAGACTTTAACACGATAGCTGCGATGCTATAACTTTCCTTGCTTTGTGTCTGTGCCAGAAAAAGATTTCAAATCAACAGCACGCAAAATTCTCTTTTAGATGGTCTTCCGAAAAATCAGCGACGTGAAACGAGAAGAAGAGGAGCGGCAGAGACGGAAAAACGAGGCGCCGCTCAACTTGCCGCCCGACCACCCCGTGCGCAAACTTTTCCAGCGCTTCCGGCAGCAGCGGGAGGCTCGCACGGCCACCGACAAGCCCGGCGAAGACAACGACATCGAGAAGGGTTCGGTCTACGTGGACGTCCCCAAGACCGCCATCATCACCACCACCAGCATCGTGACGGTGACGGAAAGCCCGGCGACGCCTTCGTCGTCGGCGTCGTCGAACACGCCCCCCAGCTGCGCCCCTTCGGACAAGGTGAAGCTCCAGGTGCCGCCCCCCGCCTCCTTGGTGGGAGGTCGGGCCGCCGAGCCGGGCAAAGTCAAAGGCTGGGGGCGCTTCAAGGAGTCCATGGCCAAGCCGGACAACTGGAAAACGGTGTCCAAATCGGAATCCATGGAGACGCTGCCGGAGCGGACCAAGGGTCACGAGTCACAGTTGTCCCTGAAGAAAACGGACTCGTGCGACAGCGGCATCACCAAGAGCGACCTGCGCCTCGACAAGGTCAGCGACTTCCGCTTGACGCCGCAGGACCGCAGTCCCGTGCAGCCTCCCGAAACCCGACGCTCCTTTTACCCCATCCCAGAGCAGACGCTCCAGGCCTCGCTTCAAGAACTCAAGCTGGAGCTCAAAGACGACCTGAAGAGCCTCAACGTCCGAATGTCGGGCCTGGAGGCGCAGCTTGCCGAAGCCCTGCAGCTACTGAAAGCCAGGACGCCCGCCGCGGGCTCCCCGCAAGGTCTCTTTGACATTTCCAGACCCGCCTCACCAGAAGCCGACAAGGAGGACATCTTCTCTTGAGCGCTCGAGGGACATTTTACTCTCAACTCAGCTGCAAATCCGGTAATGGCCGCATGATGACGGGGATCGCTGAGGCCGCACTCGCGTGGAAGTGGGGGTGGGGAGCTTTGCCTATTAGACGAGGCATCCCGGCGTCGTCTTTTAAAGACGCGCGGCCCTCCGTCGCGGGAACGCGAATGACGCGGCCGAGAGGCCGTGGCGGAACGCGGCAACGGGTTAACCCGAACGGCCTTTTATCTGTAGATACCAAGCACGGCGCTCGAAACGTTTGAGAGCTTCGAAGTAAAACGGCATGACCCAACGTTGTACACTGTACGATTCCTTGCATGTCGTATCGAGTATAAACCTTTTCACCACGAAGGTCACGTGCACTACTACTGGGTGGCAAAAGCAGAGCGATTGCGAAAGCAGGGTTAAGAGCTCGAATGAGATATTTTTATTTTTTATTTTTTTTAGCCTTCTTCTCTACCGCCGTCGTTTGAATGTGTATACTGTCGGTGGAAAAGATGTTTTGCGATGTAAGATAAGAAAAGGAAAAACCCTTTTTGTCTCACAATGGAGAAATTCCCAATTTAGAGCCGCAAAATGATGAAAGGGCAGAAAGTACAACACAAAAAGTCTATCAATAAATATAAATATAAAATATAAATAGAAACATATTAAAATGAGGATTTAATATAATTTTTAAAATAATAATATAAAAAATATAAAAATATATATTTAAAAAAAAAATAAAGGACGAGAGACAGAATGCTGCAGGTAATGTACATCCCGACGGGTTAAGTTCATTCAAAACCAGACGTGCTGGAAGCTCGGAGGAAGTTAACCGAGTCATTGAGGAACATTCAGTTTTCCCAAATTACTCAGACACGATTTGTAAACATACCCGAAAGAAAATGTCTTCCACAAACCTGACGATGGAGTTTAGAAACCCTTCGTTGGAAGGTCTTAGACCGCCCAAGTCAATCCACAGATCTTAACCCAACAGAGCATGTATTTTACCTCCTGAAGAGGACATTGAAGGGAGAAAACCCCAAACCAAACAAGAACTGAGAGAGGCTGCAGTAGAGGCCTGGAAAAGCATTTCAAATGAAGAATGCTCCAGTCTGGTGAAGTCAATTTGATGCACTTGTTGCAAATAAAAGTTATGCAACCAAATATGAAATCGTATTCACTTTAATTCAATCATATCCGTCCCAATGTTTTTGCTCACTGGATTGGTGGGTGGCTTCAAACTAAATTTGCTCTATCCTGAGTTGCCTCACACAACTAGATGGAAATACTAAAAAGCTTCAATGGTAAACCTTGTGTTTCATATTCATCTTTTGATATGAAACCTAAAATTCAATATGCAACCAAAAATAAATGAATTGACCTTGCCGTCCCAATACTTTTGGATGGACCCATATCTGGTGCCACAAACGCATTTTTGTCATCGTTTTCAGTTCGGGCTCAGCGGTAGCCAGTCATTACTCTGCCTCCCAGAAGTACCACGGGGCTAATTGTTTACAAACAGAAAGGCACCGCACGTGTCTTGACAGGTTTGATGAAGCGACGTTTACGTCGGAAGAGGACATTTATTTGATGGACACATCAATCAGCAGCTATTGTGATGAATTTTTTTTTTTTTTTTGGAGAGGGAGGAGGATGCTTCATGACAAATGGAATGCGGTTCTAATCGTGTAGTGGGCGTTTAGATCCCATTTTGGTCATCTCCCACTGACACGCTCCATACAGTACACGCCTTCACATAGCATGACAACCGGGCATAACTAGACAGATTTATATATTGTTATATATCATTTCCACTACTTAGCACAGGATCCAAATGTTCCAAGTTGTAATAGAACGTCAGGTAGGGGAGGAACATCTTATATTTATATTTTGTGCCACTGGTTTGCATGCTGCCTTTATTGAAGAAAAAAAAATGACAACAACAACAACAAAAAAATCTTCTTGTGGGATAAGTTGCATTATTCCTGAGGTTAATACCAAATATATTTGCATTGCAGGTACCCTCTTTTTGGTGGGTTTGATTGTAATGTCTGAAAGGAAGTAATCAGGTTACCAATCATTTCCGATTTTGGAACCAAAAAAAACTCAAATGTATTATGCGGCAAATCATCTCTACACAGTGTATTTTTTTTTTAAATCCCCCAAAATGGTCACAACCACTGTATATGAAAATGCAAATTATTTTTTATGGAGGATTTTATCATTCAAAATAAAAATGTCCCTGTGATGAATGGTATTTTATTCAGACAGCGACTGTGCACTTCAATAAAAATCATGTCTACAAATAAACTCAGGCACATGGACTCTTTTAAGTACCAGTTTACATTTTATTTTTATTTCAAATCCAATAAAAGGGTGTTACAGGCCACAGAGAGCCTGGAGTCAAGCGGCAGTTATGCATATCAGCTTACGTATATATAATTTATTCAAATCACTCAGTAATTTACAACTAGTATTTGTATTACTACAATCAATACGTTTTTGTTTTTTGTTTTTTTTTAAATATGTATTGGACAGGTGCCGGTGTCGCGAGGTCCACTCTGCACTCCGTGTCAAAGAAGAAGCGCACTTCTTATATTATTCATTATCTTCATATGGATAATTCATGTTTTTTTTATTTTTTTTTTACATGACTTGTCTTTTATCAGGAAAGGATGCAGCAAAGAGAAACAAAAAAAAAAAAAAACAAACCCCACACTTCCTCTTTCTCCCATCAAAAATTCAGCTGACTAAAAATAAAGAGCTGGCCTGTCGTCAGAGGCGGGATCTCATTTGTGGCCACATGAAGAAAATACCCTCAATAAATTGATAAATAAATCATTTAATTTATAATGCAGGAGCACATAAACGACGAGCTCTCTATTCGCCCTCTCCGAATCCTCATTTTTCTAAAAGCTTTTACTTGGCTTGAATGTAATCATGTCCGTATGAAATGAATTGATTACTTCTGGGTGTAAAGTGTGGATTAACATGTGGCTAATCTCATTAGGTCCAACCTCTGAATGTCACACGGCGACACGGGAACACAACTCGCCAATTGGATTGCCGCGGCCCTTTTTTTTTTTTTTTTTTACTCATTCACTTTGTATTTGCGGTGTTGAGCAGAGGTGACAAAAGTACTTGCACTCGGTGAGCGGTCCAACAATTAATCAATTTATCAACAGCTAGTCGATGAACAAATTAGTTGATCGATATTTTGAAAAATTTTTAGCGACCTTGTTGAATTTTTAAAATGATCTAAATCAGCCCCTCGGCAGTAAATATTCTGTTTTGTGTTGTGTACCAAGAAAACAGACTAAATATGGTGTTGAATCAAAATGAAGCATTTGCAAACATTTTCACCTATTTTCTGAATTTTAAAGGACCAAACCAGTAACAAAATCCTAATTTTTAAAAAATGTTTTCCACATTGTCAGTTTGAAATAATGTCCTGTTTTTGAATAATGGGATGGATTTTTTAACTGATTAATCAATTTACTCGGTAAAGTAATTGACAGATTAAAATAACACTGATCTAATTTTAATGAGGTGGCGCTAAATGTATTTTTCATGGTATCGTGTGTTTTCCGCACTATAAGGCGCACCTAGAAGCATTCAATTTTCCCAAAGGCCGACAGTGCACCCTGGCATCCGATGCGCCCTATAATCCGATGCGCCTTATGTATAGTGTTACACAGTCTCTTTATTTCCGCCACTGAATTGTTTCCCTGTTAGTGTTCTCATGCCATCTAGTGGTGATTATTAGCAGGAACCAATTGTAACCTTCTGATTGACGTGCAGTCGCCAACACAGACAACTACTTTGTGAGCTCTGCGCAGCCATTGTGAAACGAAGATAAAATAAAAAGCAGAGTTAATTACTGACTAAACGAAGGAAGAAGGAGACAAGCAAGCCTCGGAAGGATATTTACCCCCTTGTGGATGTGAGCATTCTCAACACAAACCTCCACGAAAAACTCACAAAATTGTGAAGTTTTGCAAGGTTATTCCGCAACACAAGTTTAACGCCTACCATGGCAAGACGCACGAAAAAGTCTCAAGGACCAATGGCCAAAATTGAACGGGTAGTCTGCAATTTTGGTTCGAAGAAGCCATTTTGAGCCAATTCATACTCTGGAATTCACCATCATTTTTGTTTAATCGACATCTCAGGTAGGTGGAGAGCATAGCATTAAAACATGATCATCTCAAGGATTCTCCATTTAAAAAAAAGTGCAAATACCTCCTTTGTTTCTTTTTTTTGGGGGAGGCTTCTCCACCATCTGTACTTTAACTCGACAGCGTAACAAAATGAAAATAAAGTGCTGTTAGGAGCCGTGGGGGGGAGCTTTGTTGTAATCCAAAAGGGACGAGCGGTTCCTTTAAGTTTCCATTAGTTGATGCCCGCCGTCGGGGATCATCGCGTCGGCGACACTGAGCCGGGGATCAGTGTCCAATCCTCTTAAAAGGAGCAGCAAAGTGTGAGCTTTATCTCCGGTAAGGAGATCGTCGGGAGAATGAAAAGCTGCTGAGTTACACTTTGGAGACACACGCAGGGCCGCTTTGCTCACACAGGCTGCAGTCAGCACGGATCCTGTCATTCATTTTGGGTCATTGGCCAGCTGAAGCAGACGCGGAAGAAAATACTTGATGACTTCGGGAGCTTCGTTTTATATACCGGCTGAATTTTCTAATTTGGCAGAGTGGTGAACGGCACTCTTCTCTGTGGCGTGTCAAATCGACAAAACAGATTTATTTTCACTTTACAAGCACTTGTGGGTGCAGTTTTACTTCAGCAAAGATGTTGAATTAGTATTCATCTCCTTTATCCAATCCTTTTTTTTCATACATAAGTATCTATACTTTTAGAGATTATAACTAGCAATGACACTGCTCAACACACTTTTCCTATTTTAAGGTTCATTTTTTTTCCCCGATGATTCTGACTCCGCCTTCTTTTTTTTCCCTCTACCGCATCAGGCTTGCAAAATAAAAAGTGTGTAATATAGTGATCTATTTCCTAATATTTACGAATTAAGCATTAGACTCAGCAACAGGTGGATTTTTATTCTGAAACGTAGCTGGAAATTACGACGCATGGTCAAATCCATATTGTGCAAGCTTTTATTGGTCAAAAAATAAAACTAAAAACAACCTGAAATGCTGAAATGAAAACCAAAAGTTAGGGAGACAATTGATTCAACCAAAAATTTGTTTTTGTCATTGCGAATGCTCCATCATGCAGTCTTTGCAACTTTTGTAAACGTCCCAATTTTTTGTTATGTTTCGAGTGCCCTGAGCAGCCGCAACCTTTCCCATAACACTATTTTCCATTTACTGCGCTTTGGTTTATTATCATGCTTTTCCTCTGGTGTTGATTTCAACGCCGACTTTTGATGCATATTTTTCAAGAGCAAAAATATTCCATTGCAAAAATGAGACGAGACCAAAGCTGACATGCCCGAAAAAGTTGTTTTGTGACAAGTTGACCTAAGAGTCACTGTTGATGCTTGTGTGTGCGAAATCCGTCCCATCCAATCGAGGCGGTAGATTATTTCCACGTTGACAAAAGATGACAATCGCTAAACGGCTGACTTTTGTGTGTGATTTTGCCTGGAAAATTGTGCTTTACTCAACTACCCTCCCAAAAGCAATTAGTGTGTGAATTCCAGAGGATAAATGTCATCCATTAAAATGTGCCCGGCGGCTACCAGGCTGAAACTCTTCAGTAATACATCTCGTGATATTAGCGTCAGCCAAATTACATGTGGAGGGGCAATAATGACGCTGCCGGCGCCACAGACCAGCAGTCTTTTACCGGGTCGCATTACATTCTGAGGAAACCAATTCGTTGGGGGGGGGGGAAGACAGTAAACAGACGGTTAAAAAAAACAAACAAACCAAAAAAAAACCACGCAAGCAATTGGCTCCACCCCCAAAATGTTCCAAACCACCTGCATTGCCAGTTTGATCCTCAAATACTTTAATATCATTTCAAACTCATTTTACAACAATAGCCTTGAAATAAAATGGCTGGTAGATTATTTAAAAAAAAAAAAAGAAATGGGAATCGCCACTTCGCAGATAAAAAATATACAGAAAAGACTCTCCGGAACTTGCTCACAACCCAGACTAAACCTCCAAACAAGTTTCATGTAAATATATATATATTTATGCACATTATGCACCTGTGTGTGGCGCTAGCTTCCTCCACCAACCCCCCCCCCCCCCAAAAAAAAAACAGCATCCCTTTGCCAGTCCATGCTTACTGCTTCACTTCAGCCAGCGTTTCAGTCGGGTTCCATGGCGGCGTGCCAGGTTCCATGTGTTGTTCTGGCGCGGATGATTTTTGTTTGTTTTTTTTTTGCTGCGTTGCAAAGTCAAGGTGACTCACGACGGGTGAGGCGTCCACTCCAGTCCCACCTGGGCGAAGCAGTAGAGGAAGGCCAGCATGGGCGGCAACACCGTGGACCATCCTGGTACGAGGAGAAGCGTTAAGGAGCCTTTTTTTCCGCTTTTGAACATCGCTGCAACTAATGAGCCCGCGTGTTGTGTTTGTGTTCTATTTATAGCGCCGTGAACAGGTAAAGGCAGCCGTCTGCAGCTCCTCCTGAGCTGGCTGAATTCCCCTCCAGCAACGTGCACCTGCAGCCGCAATACTTGTTGGATTGTCTTTTCCATTTGCTGACACCTAACAACAACTTTGCAAATGTTCGCGGCTTGCTAATGAGACGCTGCTGGACACTGCGTCACACTCAGCTGTGGTGCGAGGACGCCCCAGCGTTTTTGTCTTCACACGTATGTACCGGTACGTTTCAAAACAGCACAAGCTCAAATGGTGCCCGTATCGACAGCCGTAATTCCAGAAGATGCCTTCTTCAATAAAATGCTTTATATTTGAATTAATGTGAAGTTAAAATTGTTGTTTTGACTTTTAAGATGCTCTGCGCTAAACAGTCATTAGCAAAGCATAGATACTTAGATAGCACATGTATCATGGAATATTGATGTTTTTGTTTTTTTTTTAACATTTAGGTAAATGTTAAAAAAAATGTCAATATTCAGCTTTTAGCTTTAAATGGATCACCATGATTTGCGGCATCATATAATTATTGTTTGTAAAATTCATGCCGTTTTTTTTTTCTAATTAGATGTCATTTTGAAATCTTTTCTTTTAATTTTTTTTTTAATTCACCTTTGCGATTTAAAAAAAAATTGTTGCCTCGATTTTCATTTTTTTATCGTGTACATTATTAAATATTTTCACACATTATTCCATGTTATTTATTACATTTTAATTGCACATGATTTTTCACTGTTCTGTTTTTTTCCCCCCATTCGGAATAGTGCAGAATTTAAAAAAATTAAGTCTATTGTGTGAAGAATATTTAAATATCAAATATGACATGTACATTATGTAGTGTTTAGGTTCTATTTTTTTCAAATCAATTATATTTTATTTTATTCATGATGTTTATCTATTCATGTTGACGTATATAAAAATATATGATGATTTACATAAAAATATATATATATATTATTTTTTTTTTCCCCATCATAATACCCCAACCCCCTCAATTAACTCCCTACCCCAGACAGCCTTGTACTCTGTGCCATTGAGTAAATCAACACCGCTGGCCACTTCCCATTAGCCTGAAATGGCGAGGCCATGTATCAAACGTGTGCGTATAATGGCACGTGCTAAAGTAATGCGTTGTGATTGTGGTCCAGGAGCGGACAGGCTTCCACCCGCCGACACAACACAATGACTCAGAGACAATAAATATCCAGTTTCCCCCCGCTGATTGCTCATGTGGCTTTAATCAAGTGGTTGCTTAATTGCGCCACAGCTTCTTTTCCCCTCCTTTCTGCCGCTTGATTAACTCTTTTGCCACGCAGGCCACTTAACAGGAAAGGACGCCACGTCCAACATCACTGTAGCCGACCGAGGCAGAGATATACAGAACCGTCGTAGCCTGCCAAATAAAGGCATCCCTTCACTCCCCCCCAGCCGTCAGACATTACGGTAGGTTGCCAGCTAGTAACAATACTGAGGTTGATTGGTCGGTCAACGCTATTTTTCACTCACAGGCATCATTTGAATGTTGTTGCTAACCAAAACAGCAGCGCCGAGGCAATTTCAAATTGCAAAGGCTGCAATTTAGGGGGGGAAGAAAATTTAGGTCGGATGGTATATTGTGTGCGTGTGTGTGTGTGTGTGCGCATGTGTGTACTTATATATATGACTTATTTTATTATTGGAACATGAAAAATGTATTATTATTTTTATTATTATGATTTATGTCTAAGCCAAACTTGTTTGGCATGATTTTGTGAAGTTGTCATCGTGAAAGCTTAAACGACTGCAAGTCAAAGTGTTTCGTAAATTAATTGAAGTGGGGGGAATAAACTCTTTCAAAATAATAGTCTTTTATGTTAATTTATGGTTCATTTGCCTTTATTTGAGCCTAAGGCTTACCTAAAAGACCAAAACATTGATATACAATAAATCGGATATTGTGTATTGCAATGCCGATTTGTTTAAAAAAAAAAAAAAATCACATATTAAATCATAAATGCAATACTGAGGAAGGTTGCCGTCAGAAATGCTACTATTGGGGTGTAATAATAAAAGCACTCATTTTCGGTGTGAGTCTGTACAATATTAAGGGGCGATTTCTTCAAAAGAGATCGGTGCCAAGCTATCAGTGAAATTACGTGGTGATAGTTTTTGCAATATTTCAAACGGGGCGCCATTTTAACCCCCCCGCCCCCACCGGACCCCCCCCAAAAAAAAGAAAAGAAAGCCACGCCTTGCTAGCAGACTGCCTATCACTCGCTGCTGCCCGTGACTTCACGTTCTAAAAGTGGGTCACGACACGACGACGATAAGAAAACGCGGGTTGCCGGGGAGACAACATTTGAGACCCGCTGCTCTCATAAATGTGTTAAGCGCGATGTATATTTTATTCATCGAAAATGTATTTGTACAGACGCCCGGGGCACGTCACTACTGTAAAATGTGACTGTTCCGATTGCCACGTGGCTACAGCGAGAGCCTCCGATTAAAAGTGTCAGTTTTAAGTGACTATTATGGGATGTGGCTCAGCAGACTGCGAGCACCACTCATAAGCAGCGAGGTCAGAGGTGCGTCCCACTGTGGCCGGGGCCTGATTTAAAAGCATTGATCCGCTGTTGATGAAGCGCTACGGCGTCTAACGCCGCACACACCCTCTTGTATCGTTCTATTATTAGCGCCCGAATGAACCATTTGGCCAACAGAGACTCGCAGTTTTAAGTTTCTGGTTCTGCGGCGTGAATAATTCACACTCGACAAATGGCATTTTTAAACACGCACTTTCTTTTTGTGGGTTCCTCTTCATTTATTAACAGCCAGATGACAGTTGTGTGCGCGTGAAGAAGGTCAGCTGCGAAACATGACCGAGTGGAAGATGGTTTTCCGGTGAAACCAACATTTCACATTCACATTCGCAAAAATGTGCTTCATTTGGAGTACTTGCCCGCCTTGTACACGCCCACTCGCAAAGGTGATCTTTTGATTGGCTGAAGAGTCACAATGCACACGATTGGGGTCTGTGTGTTCATCAATTTATGACCGTGAAATGACTACAAATTAAAGCGCCTATTTAAGACTATACCTGAAATTTAATACAGGTTTCAAACACGTCCATTTGATAAAAAAAAAATGAAGAGTAATCATAAGCAGAGAAATTAACGCAACTCTCGCGGATTTGGTCTCGCCTCAGGTCGGAAAGGGGCACAATAACACATATTGAAGACATTTATACTTGTAATGTAATAACTTTTTAAGCCTTTTTTTTTCCGTTGTTGTTTTACAAGATGTGGAACTGAGTGAGTGCGTTATTACTTTTTAATCACCTGCAGCTGCCCCCGAGCAATTAAAAGACGTCTCAGATATTTTTTTGGAATGTTGCAATGTCTGCTCCGCGTTTCCTATGACATTAAAATGAGACATTTAGCTTGAGCTCTTAAAGTGAACAAAAGATTGGCATGGTGGGTCTTTGTTGATTTTGGTTTTTGATTTCGAAAATAATTTCATATTTTCCTTGTGTTCCTTTGTCTGTCTGTCTTGTTAGGTCCTGCTGGTTTACCCGATCCCCGGTGTTACCCGATCAGCCCCCTCCAAACCTTTGTGTCTTGTCCAAGTGTTGCTCGTTATCTCGTCAGTTTGTTTGTTTTCGGTCCTTGTCGTCACGTCTTGTAGAATCCATTGGCGGTTTTGGTTTGTTACTTTGAATCTTCCCTTCTGGACTTGTGTTAGTTTAGTATCGCTGATTCCACGTGTTTTTTTTGGTTGTATTTTTGGAGGATAAATAGATGTTTTTTTGACTCCATCCTGCTTCCTCGACCTGCGGCAACACGACAAAAATCCCGCTGGAATAAAGGTACTCCTTTATTATTATTATTATTTACCGATGCAGAGAACTGGACTTGTGTTGTTTAGACTGCACTTCACATTTTGGGAAAAATGTTCTCCCTTCTTAATCTTAATTTTCCATCTTAGCAAAACATTTTAGATAACGAGTGCACCTATATCGGCAATAAATATTTCTTTTGTGAAAAAAAAGTTACATTTGGGGAATAAAACGATGTTCATTTTAACAGACTGCAATTATACTTTTCATCTGATGCACACCGATGATGCGTGCACTCGGGTTTGGGAATTCTCTCTTTGGAAAATAAAACTCACACTTGGGGGGGTAAATAATTATGTAAATGAGTAATCATTATATTGTAGCAGACTGGCATTAGTCTTTCTATCGCATGCATCTCAGGACTGTTCTTAAATCCAGGTTAAAATTACGCCCCCCCCCCCCTACTTATGATTAAGGTATTTTAAGGTATTTTATTTTTCAAAAATATTCTTGCACTGTATATTCTTTTCATGATTTTAGTAAGCTATATTTTATTTACTTTGCTTTTAAATGTCCTTTTAATAATGTGAAGCACATTGAGTTATCTTCATTGAAATGCTTCATAGAAAGGGTTCTGTCAGTCGTCATCTGTACCTGTGGGTAAAAAACAAAAACAAAAAACAAAAAAGGACGTTTCGCTTCTCTCACAGAAGCTTCGTCAGCGGTAGACAACCCTGAAGTCTCCGTGAAGACTCCGGGAAATTGCTCTGCGCTAAAAAGCTGAGCGTGGCCTATTGACAGATGACGACTGACAGAACCCTTTCTATGATGGAACTTTCCTGTACGACTGAGAGCCTCCACAAGCATTCATTGAAATGCGCTATATAAAGGTACCTTTGCTTGCCATTGGTGCATGCACCACAGTTTGGTGATTATATTTTTATTTGGTCAAAAAAGATGATTTGTTGGGAGGAAATGCAAACATTGAATTCCACCAGGAGTATGCAAATCTCGAATTACATCAGACCTCCATGACATTTTCAATTTCACGCACCCTAAAAGGTGGGTTTACCACCGTTTGTAATTTAAACGTTTTTGGTGGAAAATATGGCCCTGGAGGACTAAAACAATGTAAACGAGAATTCATTTCACCAGCGGAGTCGTATATTTAAACTGAGGTACATACATCAAATTCTATAGGGTTAACAGCAAGGAATATTAAAAGGTGCTTCGTGGCAGGGGAAACAAACAGTTGAGACGTTTTTTTTGTAATTGTCTCTCAGCAATTGTGCGCAGCTATCAAAGCGTTTCTCAGCATACTAGAAACTCCCTGCTTGGAACTGCATTGGCACGGTCCCGTCAAGACCCGAAAAAAGAAGAGTAGATATTCCTAATAGAAAGAAAGGTGGCTCTGGGTCCACACGCCAGTAATGAGTTGAAGGATAACGGCGGCGATGAGGCGAGATTCTTGCTGGATGAAGACTGATGACGCTGTGACTATGGCGAGCAAATGAGCCGGGCTTCAAGCAGATGTCTCTCTATTTGGGAGGCACAAAAAAAAAAAAAAAAACGCAGCCAAATGCACACTGTGAAACAGCAGCATCTCTTACTGGATGAGCATCTGCAGGAACAAAAATATCTGCCAGAAGCCTTTCCAACTGGCTGAAATGCCGCGAAAGTGACACCCCGCCACAACCCACTCGCATTTTTCGTGCTCTTTCTATCACATTCTAAGATGATTACAAGATACAAAGTATGGCCACGTGACAAAACTCGACTGAGACGAAGATCGTTTGTCTGTCGAGGTAGAGCAAAATTTAGCTTGGGTTGTTGGTGGATGTTAGAGTCTTCGCTGCATTTCTTGTGAATTTTTTTTTCCCTCCCAAAAGCAAATCATCCGTCGTGAAACTGAAATGCTGTTATCTGCTCCAGCCGTCCCAATTTTTTTTTCTTACATACACAAAAATATATATACTAATAGCACTATATTATATAAGCATATAAATAAAGGAAAATTATGTAATTACTGTACCCATTGTAATCCCGTGTTGGAGGTGTGCCTTTAAGGGGTGTGGGCTAGTGAATGACATCAGGACCTGGAGTTTGGTTGATCGGTTAGTCTGCGTGTGAGCATTTGGGCTGGTGGTGTGGCCGAGAGCAGCTCTTTGAGTGTTCTCATTTTGCATTTGTGTGTTTGACCATTTGTCCCGTTCCATCGATGGATGAAAATGAGTCAGTGGCTGTGGCTCTCCTTGCCCACATGTGAGGGTTGAGGGTCCTACATTCGGCCTTTTGGTGTAGTGGCCCTGTCAAGTCAAGCATGTGACAGTCGTGTTTTTTTTTTTTTCTTTCGTCTTTCTGCTGTGTTGTGTCAGTGGGTGGTACCCATGGGCCGTCGGGCCGCCATTAATGTCGAACACTGGGACATTACAGCATTTCTTTTTTTTTTTTTTTAAATACTTCACTGAAGCAATGGCATGGAAGGCCGGCGTTACCTTGAAGGAAAACGCGCTTCCAGAAGATCCTGCCGACGTGAATCCCCCCGAGGAAGAACAGATTAGAGAGGATGAGCATGGCCGTGGAGAAAGCGGAGAGCAGCGCGGCGCAGCGCCTCCTCGTTGCCGCAGAGGAATGCCGCTCCTGGGAAATCAGCGCGGGAAAAAAAAAAAAGTGAAGCGGCGCAATGCTGTGAGGGAGACGCCACCGAGCGGCAATAACAAAAGTGTGTCGAGCGGCGCAGTCGGACCTTATTACCGCTTTGAGGAGGCCAGGCTTCTCTCGAGAGCAAAGAGAAGATGGTGCCCCGCTGCCGCTAATGTATTACAAACACACTTTGACTCACTCGAACTGTACACGGCAATTAGATGTGACAGCATCCAGCCAATGTGTGTCTGTGTAGTCCAAGCATTTGCTTTTCATTCAATCAAATTATACACCCACTCTTGTTTTAGCTATGAAAGATTTGATCATGAACCAACCCTTTTAAGCAAACAAGCAATTAAGGGGAAATGTAGGACATCAAATATCCTTTAAAAGAAAAAGTCCACCATAGTTTGCTTTTGCACTCGTTACAGATACATCAGGCTAGACTTTTTAATGTGCATCTGATCCAGATTCTACTTCACATTTTTGTTTTTAGTTCACATGCTACCGGCACGGTGGGCTACTGGTTAGCACGTCAGCCTCACAGTGCAGAGGTGCGGTGTTTGATTCTGGCTCCTGCCTTCCTGTGTGGCGTTTGCATGTTCTCCCTGTGCCTGCGTGGGTTTTCTCCGGGTGTTTCGGTTTCCTCCCACATTCCAAAAAAACCCAACGCATGGCAGGTTAATGGAACACTCTAAATTGTGAGGGTGAGCACAAATGGTTGTTCGTCTATGTGTGCCCTGCGATTGGCTGGCAACCGGTTTAAGGTGTCCCCCGCCTACTGCCCGAAGACAGCTGGGATAGGCTCCAGCACGCCTGCGACCCTTGTGAGGATAAGTGGATTAGAAAATGGGCGGATGGATGGATGCTAGTAGGCCTCCCATTTTGTTTGCTGGGTCTTCGCCATATGCAGGATTTTTTTTTTTGTACGCCTTGCTTGGAGCGGTTGAATGAATTCACAACAAGCCATCATAACATGCACGGTTAATCCTTCGATGAATTCTTCTAAAATGTCCTGATGATGTAATCCCCCCCACACCCCAAAAAAAAAAAGTTGGTCAATTTCTTTATTTGAATTTAGAGAGTCCTTTGTATTTTCAAAGCTATTCGTAGAAAAATATATGGCTAAAAGCTTTGGTGGAGGTCTGTGCTCCTGTCATATTCATATACGCAGTATGTGTGCGGAATGTTTTGCAACTTACAAAAAAGGAGCGAACGAGCGCTGAGCCAAAGAGAGCCTTCAGGCTGGTTTCCACAAGAACGCCCAGCCAATTCATCAGGGCCCAGCACTGAAGGTAGTCATGGCCACCGTGCCAAAGGCAGACGAAGCCAAACGCCAGCGCTGTGGATAACATTTTATACATCACTCCGTGATGTGAACCTCCCAGAGGCACGTAGATGTATCTGCAACATGAGCGGGAAATGACTCATTTACACAGGCAATTTTATCTGTTAAACACACACACACACACACACACACACACACACACACACACACACACACACAAAAAACAATTTAATTAGCATTTCTCAGTATGTAGCTAATGACTAGTGCGGATGTGAAACAAAGTGGGGTTAAAAATGTCCTTCGTCACCCTGCGTCATGTCATGTTCATAGATTTTTAATCAGATAAAGGTACCTCTGACGCCTGGAGCCAAAAAAAAAATAAAAAATAGATGCTCCCTAGAATAACAATTGTGGCACCGGTGTTATTAATGATGCCACCGGATGGAGTGATTTGTTTGTTTTTTTTTCCCCCAGTGATTCACACAAACACATCTTCCATCACTACATGCTCTGGATAGACAAAGTTCAAAGTCTGCCAATAGTCTCGGGTATATTGGCATTATTTTTAGCTGATCAAGATTTCCGCATATATTCTAGACCACCGCTGTCAACAATCAAAGTCGACTTGTAAATTTCAGCTGAACCGTGTGTTTGCGCTTAGCTATTCCCCAATTTGCATAGTAGTAATTGGTGTCAAGGAAGTGTACTGAGGTTACCCACCTCAACTGTGAGCATAATCTCTTCCAATAATTTATTAAAACCGTGTGTCAGCCATTATTTCCAAGGTTATTCCCATACTCCGGCTTCCGATTTAATTCAAACTCAACAAGGTGGAAAATTCCCAGGTTGTTTTGTCACCAACTCCTGTGGCGGTCCCTTTTTATAGATTCCAGCATCACGGGAAAAGGGTCTAAATCACACGTGTCAAACTCAAGGCCCGGGGGCCAGATCTGGCCTGCCACGTCATTTTATGTGGCCCGCAAAAGCAAATCATGTGTGTCAACTTGCATGATCCTTGCTAAAATGTGCGCCGCTAAAATCTGTCAAATTGTCCTGTGTAATAAATAAGAAATGAGATTGAATATTCATCATTAAAATGAATAAAGTAGCTGAATTTACGAAATTCCTTTCAATATAGGCTCTTTAATATCTGCGCTGAAGATGCAGCATAGCCAGTATGCACTCATAAGATGTAATGGATCCTTAGAGGGGGGGAAAAAAAAGCAAAGTTGGCGACTTGCGTACTTTCCAAAGTATGTCAAGAAGAGCCAAAAACAAAAAACAAAAAAAAATGTGATGCAGTTTCTGCATACCCTACAAGATACTGCACCACAGTTACCCCCTAAACCAGCCTCGGAGCTAACGTGACTCAGGCAGTCATTGTCATGACGACAATTTATTTCCAGGAAATGGAGAGTACTCATGGTGGAAGGAGGTTAACCATGGTGCTCGGGCAAACACTTGTGGCGTGTCAAGTCATCACTCATTTGCAACAGAATTGGAATCGCTTAGCTTGAATTATCAGGCAAACAAACAATTCCCCCAAACTGAATCAAGTTACCGGGAAACAATTCCCAAGTACAATTTTTCAATTTCCATCCTTGCCGATATCCCGTTTCGCCTCGGTCAAAGATAGATTAATTTATGCTCTTCCGTTACTGATGCGTCAATTCAGCAGGCTCTCCGTGTGAAAGGGGCTCGCTGCAAACTCATTATTTCAGCTACCCCGTGGTTAATCAAAAGTTCCTGAAAGACGAGCCAGGGTTTTCGGGAGCTTTGAAAAGAGCGGCCAGTTTGGCGCATTGGCGGGGGACAGCAGGTGTGTAAGCAGATGGATGGCAACCAGCAGGCAGGAGGGCAGCGTTGTATCTTAACGACGTAGGACGTCACCACTTTAAGCTGATGGGTGAATATAAATCGACACGTGTAGATTTTCTCACTCGCTTGAAATAAATGAGAGTCTAAATGCCCAACTTGTTCATTTAAGATGCGCATTTGCACGGATTTGGGATCAAACGCTCCTTCTCATATGCACTTCAGCTGCAAAAACTCTAATTTAGCAGCCATCGAGGACCCTCCAGCTGGCTCGATAGCTGTACCTGCAGCAGGTAATGGAATGACAAAAGAAGGAGCCACTTTGCAGCCAGGGGAGACGGGTATCAGTGAGTCATGGTCTCACACCCACGCCGTCCTCCTCAGACCGTTTGGGCGCAATCTCACCACCGCATTAGAGTCGGTTTAAAAGCACTTTTGACGAGAAGCGGACGTGCGGTGCATTGTGTGCCACTTATCGTTTTTGCATCTGTGTTGGGGTAATTGTGAGAGATGCCATTAAGCGTAAGGCCTGGGGAGGGGGTGGA